AAGCGACTCAGGTTCTGGTCCAGGCTCTCGTCATCTCACGCCTAGACTACTGCAACTCCCTCCTGGCTGGTCTACCTGCATGTGCCATCCGACCTCTGCAGCTCATCCAGAATGCAGCGGCTCGTCTGGTCTTCAACCTTCCTAAATTCTCCCACACCACTCCGCTCCTCCGCTCCCTTCACTGGCTTCCGGTAACTGCTAGAATCCACTTCAAGACACTGGTACTTGCTTACCATGCTGCGAATGGATCTGGCCCTTCCTACATCCAGGACATGGTTAAACCGTACACCCCAACGCGTGCACTATGCTCTGCATCAGCCAAACGACTCGTTGCGCCCTCGCTGCGAGGGGGACCCAAGTTCCCATCGGCGAAAACACGTGGGTTTGCTGTCCTGGCTCCAAGATGGTGGAATGAGCTCCCCATTGACATCAGGACGGCAGATAGCTTGCACATCTTCCGGCGCAAACTGAAAACTCATCTCTTTCGACTCCACTTCGAGCGTTAGAACTATTAACGAAGCACTTTTATACTAATAAAGGACTGGCTTACCTAAAGCCAGTGGAGTAGCACTTGAAATGTTTGGCTCTATGAAACCTGATGTACTTATATGATTCTGTTTTCTTCAAGGTTGTGTCTTCCTGGTCGAATGTACTTATTGTAAGTCGCTTTGGATAAAAGCGTCAGCTAAATGCAATGTAATGTAATGTGGAGGGATTATATCTCTTCGCTGGCCTGGGAGCGCCTTGGGATCCCCCAGTCAGAGCTGGTTGATGTGGCCAGGGAAAAGAAAGTTTGGGGCTCTCTGCTGGAACTGCTACCCCCGCGACTCGACCACGGATAAGCGGGAGAAGATGGATGGATGGATGAATTAAATAAAATTGGTTTTTAGGTTGATTTACAAAATCTGTCCAGGGACTAGAGATGAAAAATAGCCTCTTGGCTAACTCTGGCATATTTACAGAAATATTGATCAATATGCACTTTCCCTGTTAAATAAATGAATAAATAAATAAAAAAACAAATAAGCTAGTACACAAACATCATTTAAAACTCTAACATCAAGTTAAGCCTTTAGGTGATTTCATAACACCAACAAAATCAGTAAATACCGTACATTGAGTCTTCATGGTGTGGGCGGCAGAAGAGGGGTGTTATGTTAATAAGTTTAACAGATGTGAAACATTATTGTGAATACTGCTATGAACTTGTATTTAGATGTGCTGTATTGACATCTTGGGTCTGAAAGCAGAAACCTATTTAAACTACAAAAGGAATTAAACATGTGAAAATCCTTCACCTTAATCCATATTGAATGTCATTAAGGAAATTCAGCCCAAGTGACAATATTAATCTGGCATCTGACATACTGTATGTGTATTTTTGGGTGACAGCACAGGAGATATCTTAATCTCGCTCAAGACCTTCAAATGCCAAGATTCATTTCGCGCTGCTCCCTTTGGAATTATGTTATTATGGTGGGGGAAATGACAGTTGTATCAATTATGCATTAGGTGAGTGTGTGCGGAATGCATATGCAAATCAAGTTCACCCCGTGGATGGAAGTGAAATAAATGAAAATGCTCATATCAAAGTGGTGAGTTCTGCTAAACTCCAGTCAAGTTCTAGAAAATACTGTGAAACAACCACTGAGGAAGGGATATTAGTGAAGTTTTTACTTATGTCCGCTGGTTCTCAAATAACAATTTTTTGGAGGTCACAGAAGATTTGTTATTTTGAATGACAGAAATAGACAAAAAATAGGTCTAACTTTGCTGCTCTTTAAAGTAATCCCTCTTTTATTGTTTCATTATTTTGAGCTGTGGTGCCGGAGCCAGCTAGCTATCATAACTTGATATAAACTGTGTGAAAAAGCTATAGCCTGCCTCTGTTCAATGGTAACTCTGTTGACCAGCACCCATAGAGCTAACTAATTAGAGTTACATATTATTTATTTAATACAAGTTTTAGAAACAACAATTTGCTGTTCTAAACTGCCAAGCTAGCTGTTTGGAATATGTGTGCTAAGCTAAGCTAAACAGCTGTAGAAAATAGCTTCATATTAAAGTAAACAGATATTGTTCTAAACTGTATTAAAGTAAACATGTATTATTTTAAACTGTATTGAAGTGAACATGTATTATTTGGGACTGTTTTACTGTAATCCTATATATATAACCTTCTCACTTACACTCACTGACCCAGATACCAGCACACACACATATTCTTTTCAAGGTTCTTTCTGGGGCCAATATAATCTCGGGCACCAATATATCTGTGTACAATGTTTGATTGTCTGGGAAAGAATAGTTTGTGTGAAATATTCCTTGGGAAAGTAAAGGAGTGAATTCAGGTGCAAGATAAAGATTGACTCTGTCTTTGTTTACTTACGAAGCTGTCACGCTCTGTTCAGAAGTAAAATACTTTTTCCCAGAACTCTGATTCGCTGTATTGGTCCCGCCCAGAAGTGAAACTGGCCAATGGAGACCTACCAGCTCACGGTCTGGGGCTCGCCCAGAAGTGAAATCGCCAATAACAAATAGCTAGGGAGGAGCAGAGCCATATATGGCTCTGGGGAGGAGCAACCGACACAACTCCTCCCCACTTGTGTGTATAAATATTCTCATGCTCGGGGCTCTTTTTCGGACTGGCTGTCGTGGTACGTATATCACACGGTGATAGGAATTGAGCCCGGAGTACTCTGTATTTTGTACTATTGCAGAGTGCTCTGTATTGTGTATTGTTGCTTTTACCATTAAAACAGATTATTGTTTAACCTTTATTCTGGTGCTTTGAGTTCCTTCTTTTATAAATTTGACCAGCTCATCAGTCATCAAGGGACGCGCAGAGCAGAGGTGAACCTTCCACCACCGCCATTGAGTGGTGCTCCAACAATATACAGACACAAAAGTGTTTTCTCAACAGAATGTCTTGGTGTTCTTCAGCAGATGCATCTGGTTCAGTTATTATGTCAACTAACAACTGGGCAAACTCAACTCCATGTGCTGTCAAAGACTGTGAAATTCTGTTGAAATCTCCATAATAAGCTAGCAAGTGTATCTCGAGATAGTCCAAGGTCAAAAAGTAAACATTTCTATAAAAAAGCAATGATTTTACCGCCTACGCTGTTTATCAGAAATACAAAAACAGACAAGAGAAAAAAAAATGCTTTCAGAATACACTATTGTTCAATGTCTTAATAATAGTTACCATGGAAACTATGTATCTATCATAAACACACTATCTATCATAAGCACATTATAAATACCATACACACTAATATAGGCAATTGTACATAATTTAAATCTACATATTGAGAATCAACATAGGAGACAGGTGTGGTGAGCTGTATATGTATGCAGAGGGGAATGGTTGAAGAGGGTGGATGATCTAGTGGGATGTTCTCTGGCTTGTATCCTTCCCTGTTCCTCCGTATCCATTCTCCTCCTAATCCTCTCACTCTTTGTCTCAACATCTCTGTTGAAATCTCTCTCATTTTCCCTTTCTCTTGTGCTGCACATATCAACAGCTCCACCAACAGGTGGAACAAGGCTCATCTCAGGTTTACACTTCATCCGTCCAAGGCGCTCTCTACATTTCCCCCTGACAGTGTAATGCAACGCCACATATTTTCAAGGTCCATGCTTTAAATTTCATGATAACTGAGAGCCATGAGAACTGTTCAGGTGGGGGAAAATTATTTATGGTCATTCAACACACACTGCTGAATCAACAGAGTCACAGAAAAAAATAGAAAGGACATGGCAGGTTTGGAACCAAGCTCTCCTCATTGTCTGGATAACACAACCTAAATCTAGGAAATGGTCGGTAAATCAGCTCCACAGGATTTATTATACACCCCACATCTTCATACAGCCTCTCATCTCTAATTCTGCATGTAGTCCTTATACAAACAGGTTTAAGACACACTAAAACGTCAGCTCTATGTATTCAGCACACACACTGACTCTATTACACTTCTAAATTCATCCACTGGGAGGCAGAGATGAGGCCATCTGCCTTTGTGATCTGAAAACCTCTCTTTATACATCCATTATTTTATATCAAAGGAGCCAAATGCTTCAGGCTAGCTGTGGCCTGTGTTCAATCATAGCTTTCAGAGTACTTTACTCAGCAAATGAGGTGAGGACGTGTTTAGGTTTTGTAGAACATAAGAGAAACGGTTTCATCCATTAAAGCAGTTATAGAAGAGAAGTAAATGTGTCTCTTCAGAGGTCTCTGTATTTTCACTACTGATCTGCTGACCAGCTAGGACATGTTGTTTTTTGTTTAGCCATTTAGCAAACAGTCAAATAGCATTATTTTCAATCAAGATCTAGTTCTACAGTCTTGTGTATTTATTTATTTTTTAAGATGGAAATGAGCTTTTTTCACTTTGACCAGCATCATTTTGGATCATTTACCTGTAAAGGCAAGCAAATAATGGTATGTTTTTAGTGTGCTTTTATAAGAACACACAGTTGTAGATAATCATACTTCACATATCCGCACATTTTCTAGATAATCATAATAATAATTGGTATATTGTGTATATTTTCTGATCTTTACAATATATGTTTTTTAATGGTACAGAATATAGTATTTATATATATAAATATTGCTGATTTGTTATAATAGTCTTAAAATATATATTTTTAAATAGCTGTCATAACAGTCCTATTTTGTTTTATTTTGTTTTGCTACATATTCTTCTTTCTGTGTCTTTGTATGCACCACATACCAAAGCAAATTTTGTAAACCTACTCTGATTCTGAATTGAAAATAAGGTTATGTGGATTTTAGCAATGTCTTTGTGGTTGGTTGTCTATAATGTATAATGAGTTCGGATACTGCATATAATACAAGCCTACTCTGGACAGTAAAGGGACTTTTAGTAAGTCTTCAAAATGAATACAGTGAATGTAAATGCGTTATACCTGGTGTCGCCGCCAGAGGACGCTGCTGCTTTTTCAGCCTGACGAACAAGCGGAACACGACGTGGCAAGTAAACAGATCACTTCCTGTTTTCAGAACTGTATTGACATCCGTCTCATACCGTCCTATTTTACGCCGGTCTAAACTGACTTCCTCAGACGGTGTAGTAGCTTTTCCTCCTCTGTAAGGCCGCTGTTGTGTGGGGGGAGCAGGCTGGTGGTCTACATGAGCAGCGGGCTGTAGAAGTCGAGCAGCCGGACAGGAGAGATGATGCCCGGGCTGATGCTGGTGTTGCTCGGGGGGCTACTGGAGGTCTGCAGCGGAGTATCAGCAAACCGAGGGGGGTATCCCTCCTTTACAGACGAAATCCCTTTCAAAATCCACTGGCCAGGCCCTGAATTCACACTGGTAAGTCTCATCGTTTACACTTACTTGAATATATTAGGGAGAAGTGTAACACACGTACTGCAACGAGATGCTACTGACAACTGTGTAGCTTTGAAGTGAGCTTGCACTATTTCCGGTTTATCTCCTCTTCCTTTACTGCCTTGTTTTGTTTTATGCTCCTGCAACACATTTCCCCCCCAAATTGGGATTAATAAAGTACATATTATCTTATCTTATTTTACAGTTAAAGTAACACACGTTTGTCTCTGGTTTTCAGCCATCTACAGGAGCTATTTACAAGGAAGATGACTTTGTAATCATGACCACAACAGAGAAGGAGAAGTACAAATGTATCCTACCCTCCCTGACATCTGGAGATAATGTAAGCAATGATGTTTTTTATTTCTCCAACAGATGACTGTTAACATTGTGACAGCTATTGAAATAATACAAAGCTGCTCAAGTGTATCCCACTGGGTAAATGCAACAAACCAAGGCTATTTTTTATCCAAAAGGAACTTTGCATACTCAACCCTTCTGATGTACTGCGATACAGTGAATGGTATTCCGTGTATGTCATACAATGGAGTCCGTGCTACCAAAGATGGTGTAACACTCGGCTGTCATATTCTTGAAACATTTCTGAGTGAGACACTGTTTAAGCTGCAATCTGTGTCATAATGTTGTAGTTTTGGTCACCATTGATACCTGCGCCTTCTTTGCTGCTATGGGGGGATGCATGTAAGGTTTAAAACATGTCCTCATTTTGACTTCTTTACCCATGCCATTTAGTTAAGACTGGCAACACGCCTGAACAGCTGAAACTGAGATTTAAATACTAATTTGTTGACTGAAAGTAGGCCTTGGAAAAAAAGCATCTGCATGACATGGAGCAAGATTTGTCGAATATGTCATAAAAACCCACTACATTTTTCTTTTTCAATCTTGTGTTCAATAACACAGCTCCATACTTCCTTATCGCTCTCTCCCTCACTCTTCTTGCATGTGTTGGTGTCTTCGTTGACTCAGGATGATGATAAGGAGTACACCGGGCCCACCCCAGGTGAACTGCTGGAGCCGCTATTCAAAAGAAGCAGCTGTTCATACAGGGTGAGACTTCTCAGGTTTCATTTTGATGTCCCATCATTTCCCTCCTGCTCTCAACAGAGAGACTGAAACTGTTTGAGTTCAGGCTACATTAGCAGAGCATAACTACAAACTTGACATTATTTGCCTGCTGTGTGGCTGAGAGTGTTAGATGATTTGAATAACTCTAAACCTTCTCTTGGCTTGTCCACATCGCAGATTGAGTCGTACTGGACCTATGAAGTATGCCATGGAAAGCATATAAGACAGTATCATGAGGAGAAGGAGACTGGTCAGGTCAGTGTTTTGAGAGGATAACATCATTTTCAGATGACATGAATAAGAAGCTGTAGTGCATTGTATACTAAAGGCTATACTGTGTGTTTCCTTAGAAAATAAGTGTTCAAGAGTACTTCCTTGGGAATATGGCACAGGAGAGCCAGTCAACGGAGACAGGTGAGTTCATACTTGAATGTGTTTTAATATGGTATTTAGCATATTAGTATTTTCTGTACTTTCCTCAAGTGAAATTTATCTTTTTTTTTTTTTTTTCAGATAAAGTTGAAGAGGCAGAAAATGCAAAACCAGCGGTTGAAACGGAAGTAAGTATAATAATAATAAAACAGCAGGAACCAACCAGATTTGCCGGACTTGCTGTCAATGCTCTTATTTCATGTCTCCTTCATTCTTTCCCCTTGTGTCCAGGTGTCCTCTAAGAATATAGAAGGTCAGCTGACTCCCTACTTCGCCTTGGAGATGGGAAATGGGACCCCCTGTGTGCTGAAACAGAACGACGCTCGCTCCTCGTCTGTTCTGTACGTCTGTCATCCCGAGGCCAAGCACGAGATCCTGTCTGTCGCCGAGGTCACCACCTGTGAATATGAGGTGGTGGTGCTGACGCCGCTGCTTTGTGTGCACCCAAAATACAGGTAGATCTGTCAGAAATGATAACATTTCATGGTCAGGATTCTACCAAAAGGCATTTTTCGAATTGTTGGGGAAATAATGCAACCTTGGGCTGCTGTGCTCTCAGTGTTTTGTCTGCCTGTTCCTGCCTGTTGACGTCAGCTGATAGAGATGTTATAGTACTCCTCCTATTTCATCTTGTTATGCACAATGTTGATTATTCTCTCAGAACTAGCTAAATACATGGGTCTGGGGTAGAGATCTTCAGAATTGGTTTGGCAACCTCTGTGTCAACACGTGGCACAGGACATGTCTTGTGAATTCTCCGGCCGAATAAACCATCAGTGTTTGCCATCAAAGTTCCTCCTCTCCCCGTGTCTCTCTGAGTCTTGTCTCCATTTCTTCAGAGGTTTCCATCACACTAATCGACATATTTTCCTTGCAGGTTCAAGTCCTCCCCAGTAAACGGCATCTTCTGCCAGTCTCTGGCAGGTTCCCCTTTGCGGCCTCTGCGGCTCGCCCAGTTGGATAAGGAACAAGAGGAGCAGCTTAAACCGCCTTTCAGCGCCGCCTCCGAGGCCCCCAGAGAGGTATGGCATACGTGGATATGACAGAGGGGAAACATGCAGACAGCGTGTACCTACACACCTGCCTCAAATATATCTTTGATGTTTTACAGGAGCCGACACCCCCAATCAGAGAGGAGGCCTTCTCCTCCACTCACAAACCCATTACGGTTGGAGGGCAGACTCAGGTCACTGTGGGCACCACTCACATCTCTCGCCTGACGGACGAGCAGCTGATCAGGGAGTTCCTCAGTGGCTCGTACTGTCTGCATGGGGTGAGAAATGTTCCATCTATACCACCTGAGCAGTTTTTAACAAACCATACACTGACATCTAATCATCTTCAAATGTTTATTTCAGGGAGTAGGGTGGTGGAAATATGAGTTCTGTTACGGAAAGCACGTCCATCAGTACCACGAGGTAAGGGTCCCCAAGCTAGTGTGTGCACGTTTGTGTGTAAGTGAGGGGATGAATGAGATTGTGTTCAAGAGAAAAGTTCCCGTTTCACCTTGCTTTAGGGCGTGAACTTCCCATTTATTTCACTATAAATAAATGTAGCTTTTTCTTTACTTAATTAATTGCTTTAAAAAAAACGAAAACTTCACTACAAGAAGTAATAATACATAAAAAGTAGTGACTGATTGAAGCTAAGGCTAACAGGGTGAAGCTCCTACACCGTAAGCACCTAAAGCTTTCCTTAAGGTTAAAGTGCTGACTTCCAATTGCTTGTTTTTTTCTAACCAACAGTCTAAACTGAGAGATAAATTGTTTATTAATGCATACAAATAAAAGTAGCATTGTGTGAGAAGCTGGAACTGAGGAACATTTGCTATTTTAAAAACACACTATTATCCTTTTCTAAAATAAGTTGGCGATTACTATTCCACAAATTGTATTATTGAGTAGTTTCAACTTTACTTTCATTTAGTAACACATTTGTTGACTGTGTAAATATATATGTAAAATGGTTGTACACTGGTAAAAATGTCCCTTGGTGCCCCAGGATAAAGAGCAAGGGAAAAACACGGTGGTGGTCGGGAACTGGAACGCCATGGATCACAACGAGTGGGCCGCCAAAAACATAGCAAGATCCTACCAGCTCAAAGACGACGGAGTGCAGAAAGTCAAGTAGGCCATTTATATCTTTGAAAGCCTGGATACAAATTAAACTGAGCTATTTGCTGATTCATATGATAACATTTCCCCCGCTTCGTGACAGGTTGGTTTCCCACTTCTATGGCCACGGGGATCTGTGTGATCTGACAGGGAAGCCCAGACAGGTCATCGTGAAGCTCAAGTGAGTGAACAGTCATGTGTCCAGAGAGGATCCACAGCACCAGTTCTCTGCCCTGAGTCAACACATGAGTAAGACAATACCCCGATGTTTCCCAGCTGATTCACTCCTCATTTCTCTCCTCTCGGTCAGATGTAAGGAGTCTGAATCTCCCCATGCTGTCACGGTCTATATGCTGGAGCCTCAGACTTGTCAGTACATCCTTGGGGTAAGTTCTCCAGCAACACATGAGTCACAGTAACTAAAAAGAAACATGCTTAGAAGCACTATATCAAGTTTACATTGCACCTTATTAGGCTAAACCCACCTACAGTTTTGAAAGTGAGTGTTCAGGCAAAGCTAATTGCAATGTTTTCAGTTGTACACAAAAAAAAACTATTTGTTTTTCTTGTTTCTAAAGTTGTTATTGGTTAATACAAATATATATATATATATATATGTTTTGTGTTTAGAGCATGACACAAGGAAGTTATTTTAGTTTTAGCAGTTTTTAAGTCAGTAAGTTTCTCATACCATATGGGTCAGTGTATGTTTTGGTCATTGGATTTTCTTTTCACAAATGGATATTCAAAAAACGACTGGATATTTGATTTTCGTTTTTCAAATTGAAAAACCAAAATTGAAATACAAGGCGTTTTTCTTTATCATGGTCAAAAATGGATTTGCTAAACTTAAAAAACGGGATGATTTACATTTTCTACTTCTCAAAACAAAAAATAAAATCACTAGAAAACAGAAACAAAAAAAAAACCTGTTTTTTCATATTCTGCTACCGGAAGTTGTCTTTCAAAAATAAGAGCGCAGATGAGGACGGTCAATCCGTGTATCTACGGTCCATAACGAAAACAGCCAAGACACACATTGAGCCCAGAAAATGAATGTTATTAAGGGCTGTAAATATAATAGGCCTATGTCTAAAATGGATAACATTGTTTGGAGATTTCAACTATACAGCGATTCTGCACTGCGGTCACTCAGCCGTCTCTCGAGTTTGTTATTATTTTTTCTGCCAATAGTTCTTCTTGAGATCGATCCTGTTGGACTCAGTAGGCTAGTAGTGAAACTACTCCCACAACAAGTACTATGAAGTACTTACTGTGTACTTTGAGTAATCCTCTGTCAATGTCCCCTCCTGAGAACAAGAATGCATGTTTTTCTGCTATTTTGAATCAGCGTTAAAACACCTTTCTTCATGAGACTGATATTGTTGGACGGAGTATTTTAAGAGGATGGTAGATATGATATCAGCAATACTTCCAGTCAGTAGTCTGGCAGCAGCCTTTTTACCCCTTGGAAAGTCTTGCCCGCTATTTAAATGGACTTTGATTGAAGTTAATAACAATATTGATATTGATGCAGTCATCATCATCAGCTTTATTTAAAGAGGCTCTTGGTCCTTTATTACAAAACGTACAACACTCAAATATAAATAAAAAAAGGCAGTTATACCAATGTTTCCACAGAGGTGACTGGTATCGTACAGCACTGAAACACGGATTTGAGAGCAGCATAATGACAGAGTTATGAGAAACATTCAATCGACAGATGAATTTGTACATCAGATTTCTCAAAAGAGCATGGAACGTGTTGACCGTGCGTTACAGAACATTTCACTTGCACTGCACCACCTTGGTTTTCTAAGCAGTATACGCAAACAGTCATTATATGCAACCTGGCGCTTCTGGAGGCTCGCCTTCTTATACTTGACCCACAAGGGGGCAGTATAGAGAGGAGTGCAATAAGCTCTAAAGAGGTTCACCTTAACCTTATCTGAACACCAAGAGAATTTTGTATATAAGACACGCCGCTGTCTATACATGATGTCATCATCATCAGTTATTTCATCTGTAATGATGTGTCCCAGATACTTAGTGTTACAGCAAACAGACTGGGACTGATGGAAGGATGAGGCTGAAGAATCTGTGAGGAACCAACTAGCGGCAGAGGAATAGTTATATATTAAAAGACAGCAGCATCATCATAAGAGGCCAACCAGAGTGACAGTGTGTTACTTCGCTGAAGGATATTTGTGACCAGCTATCCAGGACAGACTCTAAAGACTGTACAAATGCTGCTGTTGATATCATGTCTACCATCCTCTTAAAATACTCTGTCCAACAATATCAGTCTCATGAAGAAAGGTGTTTTAACGCTGATTCAAAATAGCAGAAAAACATGCATTCTTGTTCTCAGGAGGGAACATTGACAGAGGATTACTCAAAAAGTACACAGTAAGTACTTCATAGTACTTGTTGTGGGAGTAGTTTCACTACTAGCCTACTGAGTCCAACAGGATCGATCTCACGAAGAACTATTGGCAGAAAAAATAATAACAAACTCGAGAGACGGCTGAGTGACCGCAGTGCAGAATCGCTGTATAGTTGAAATCTCCAAACAATGTTACCCATTTTAGACACAGGCCTATTATATTTACAGCCCTTAATAACATTCATTTTCTGGGCTCAATGTGTGTCTTGGCTGTTTTCGTTGTGAAAACAAATGGACCGTAGATACACGGATTGACCGTCCTCATCTGCGCTCTTATTTTGAAAGACAACTTCCGGTAGCAGAATATGAAAAAACTGTTTTTTGTTTTTTTTATGTTTTCTAGTGATTTTATTTTTTGTTTTGAGAAGTAGAAAATGTAAATCATCCCGTTTTTTAAGTTTAGCAAATCCATTTTTGACCATGATAAAGAAAAACGCCTTGTATTTCAATTTTGGTTTTTCAATTTGAAAAGAAAATCCAATGACCAAAACATACACTGACCCATATGACAAGAAATACCTCCAATAAAGGGAGCAAGACCTTTGGTTTATTACTCTACTGGCAGTGCAGATGTGTGGTCAGTCTCGGTGATTTCCATGTTTTCTCTTCCTAGGTTGAGTCTCCAGTCATATGCAGGATTCTTGACACCGCTGATGAACATGGACTTCTGTCAATCTCCAGCTAAACTGAAAAAAAAGATCATATGACAGCAATGGAGCATGGAGGACAAAGAGAGACCAGACAGCGAGAGGTGCACTTGAAGAGAGAACATTTATCTTAAAACAGAAGCCTGTTTTGTTTGAGGAAGAGAGATGCCCATGACACTGCGCCCAAAGCCTAAGGTTAAACTTGATGCTGAGGCTGGACTTAATGTAGCTGAGGAGCACAGACACTGACAATGCTACATCACAGCCTTAAATCAGCAGGCTAGCTCAGACTTTTTGAAAACACAGCGGCCGGCGCCTCAGTCCACAGGGCAGCGCATTCATTGCCTGTACTCCATATCTATGCTTCAATTTGTTGATTAATTGCAAGCAAAGGAGTGATGAATCAGGGGATTCACAATCATCAGGGGAATCACAATATTCATGGTGGTGTAATTGTCTTTAAGGTTTATTTGTGAGTGTGATATGAAATTGATTAGCTGCTTGTTTGTGGCACTTTGTACTTTTGTAGATAGGGTGAAAAACAAGTGTTTTGCTTCAGTGAGAATGTGCATTGTGTTAATTTACTGGATGACTGAGTGTAACTTATGCTTCAGAACGTGCTGTGGAATGCCAACACAAGTGATTTGTTGATTAAAATGTTCTTTAAGGTTGTTTTCAATGTACAGAACGTCTGTGGGTTCCTGTAACAGGTATTCTGTGGTTTTATGAAGAGTCACACTGGGATCCTTCACCCTGCTGTATCGAAGGGGTACAAATCAATACTTTTCCAGCAAAGAATAAAAATGAACCATGAAAACCTAAAATATATATATATACTGTTGAATCACCACACAGAATAAAAACGTTTAAAAAAAGATATAAGGAAATCATAGCAATACATGTATCCACCTAACAGTAATAGGGCCGTCATTGCCTAAAGTTTGCAAATCATTTTAGTGTTTCTCTTGGTTTTCATTAATTATGTGGACCATAAACTGATGTTAAATAATAAAATGTTTGTCTTTGAGAAAGAACTATACTTTTGAGAACAGAAAAGCCATGGTGCAATGTTTATCAATTTACATATTTATTAATGCATGACTGTATTTTTAAAAGACAGGCTCAATGCACTCAGATTAAAAGAATCATGTCATGAGGGTTCATCAATTACATTTCTTAAGGGAACTTACACTGGTACTTAATATAAACCTATATTATGGTGTACTTACTGTACTTTTGGAATTACTATTGGTATCAATTCAATAAGGTATTTCAATATTCCATAAGGAAATTGTATCCCATCATGCAGTGAAGTGAGTTTAACTTGCCTTCTGTTGATCAACTAATCGCTTCATATTTTAATTTTATTTAAAAAGTGAAAGCACAGATCCACTGCACTTGCCAAACATTTATTGTGTTAAAAAGTGTATGAGGTTCACAAATACAATTCTTTCAAGAAGCAGAAGTTCATCAAAGTGCGACCACATGCCATCAACAGCCATGTGTTCCACAGCAGCCCGACACCACAGCAGCAACTTCAGCCAGAGAGGACACAGCAGTAATGGAGCAACTGCAGTCTTTGGCTGCCATGACACCTGCAGAGTATCGGCTTATAATGGCACATGCGTGTGCAACAGGGGGAGGGGGGGGGGGGGGGGGGTTAGGTGAAAATGCAGTATCAGTAAAACAACAGTGAGTTACTTTTTGGAACAGACTTTCATTACAAATCTATTGCTTTTTCTGAGTTTCGTTGCAATGCTAATAACACTGTAATTTACTTTTTCCACTCAAGAGACATGTATTTCCACTGCAGAGGAGGAAAAAAGGTAAATACTGATTCCAAATACTTAAAATGGGCGTTTTTAAAGTTCCTCTTGATTTAAATCCATGGCTTGATTGTCCAAACATTTCTGTTAAGCAGCTCTTTGATTAGACTGAGGGAATGGGAATCTGGTGCACTGAGGTGCTTTCAAAGTCTTGCAGTGCGTCTTGGTGAGTGTGGTAGTGCATGGCTACATAGGACTTGGCAAAGGCAAATGTCTGAGAGCTGACAGGCTGCAGGCTGGTGGGGGAGCTGGGCCCTGCAGAGGGACTGCTGTTGTATATGCTGTAGTAGGGCTCAATGCGGGTGTTGATGGGTGTCGAGGTGCTTGGCGGGCGAGGTTTGCGCGCACTTGTGGCCCTTGGACTTCCAGCACAGTCCCTGGAGTGACTCGGCCCACAAGCCTGGTCCACCAGCCTCCTCTGTGGCTTGGGCGACAGAACATAGGCTGAGTTGGTCTCATGATGCGAGGATTTATTGCGATTGGCTTCCAGGGTGCCCTTCCCCATCGCATGCAGACGAGTCTTTTGCTTGCAACAGAGAAAGCCCAGTGCCGCCCACTGAATACAGCACAGCACGCGGCGGCGGAGGCCTGCACTGTTGCGCGAGTACACAAAGGGATTGATTCCCGATTTGAGGAAAATAAGCACAAAGCCACACAGTTCAAACTGGTAATGTGCAAAGTTACTCTCTGGTGACAAAACGTCCTGTGCCAGTGAAACTCCCATCGGCAAGCAGCAAAGAAGCACAGAGAACACAATAACTACACAGGTGACAACAGCCTTAGAGTCTTTGGCTGTGGCCAAGTTCACTGTAGACACCAGTTGACAGCAGGTGGCCCCTTGAGCGGCCCCAGGAACCAGAGGCTGGCTGTTCTTGTTGATGAAAGAGTGTGTCTGGACGTTATGTAGTTTGTTGTAAGTTTGATTACGGTACATAGAAGGGCCTTGAACAGCACACTGCATGCTCTCAAAGCCTGCTGCAATGAGAGGCGGTGGGGGTGGAGGGCATGTGGCATCTACAGTGATGACGGGACATTTCCTCACTTGTGCGTTCTTCCTTAGTGTCTGAGCAATCATCAGGTAGGACACCGACACCACAGCTACACAAAAGGCAAAGTCTGCCAGGTAGACGTACAACACAACCCTGGCTCGTCCACCTCCGAGGCCAAAGTGGGGCAAGCAGGGTCCGTCTCTGCGTGGGTACGCCCGCATTGTGAGGAGGGCTGCCATGGTGAAGCTGGATGTCCACAGCAGGGCGGTGAGGGCCAGCGTGCAAGGGAAGGAGGCAGTGCGGTTGGGCTGCTGCCCCAAAACCATGCGCAGCCTGTGCAAAGCAATGACAGCCACCGTCTCCAGGGACATGATGATAAAGCCTGAGCTGGTCAGGTGGAAGGCGAAGCAGAAACTCTTTGACACACCGTCCCCCCCCACCCGCATCCAGGAAGAGCACCAGTGCAAACATGGGGGCAGTCACACAGCAGATGAACAAGTCACAGAAAGAAAGGTTGAGGATCATGAAGTCAAAGTTGGTGCGAAACTTGCGGAACACCGGATCAAAAAAGGACAGGAATACCACAAGGTTGCCATATGATCCCAGAAAGAAGATGAAAATGAGGAGAAGAGAGCAAAAGGTCAGGGTGGCAGTGTGGATCACGGCCCAGCCTGACGCGCCATGGGTGCCATTGAAGCTCTGCTGTCTCGGCACATCCACCAGGTCTGATGGTGTAGCAGTGGTGTTCATTGTATTATTAACAATTTATAAGGATCCCACAGTCATCAATTTCAGCATTATTCCTCTGTATGGAAGGAGTACATGATGATCACAGTGTCTTCTGCTTCCACCATTGCTGCTACCTTGGTAGAGTGCTACACAGGATACAAAGTAATATATTAGCTGTGTGCAGTAGATCACGTTAATACATTCTTGTTTGATAAAAAGGGATCAATGCAACTTACCATCAAAGGTAAAAAGGAACATTTAATAAGAAACTGCGATGCATTACATGTTAGACACAAGCTACAGTAGGCTATAACTATGCACCACTGCATTCGGCCAATTATTCCTTACTCCCCCCAACACACACACCGCGTCTGTGTATATCATTGTTGTCCTAATGTATTTAGATTTCAAGCCGTAAAATAGCTTACATAATTTATAAAATGAGAAAATATAACCTACCGTCTGTGATCGAATGTGCATCCATCATGGTTTCATAAAGCCCATCTTGAATTTAAAGCATTATGATAGTAAGTGAACGCACCGCGGCTTTGAAAGATACAAATGTATTTCAATCAGCAAACCGTCCAAAACAGAGACCTACATAGAAAAACGCTGAAACAAAATGCGTTTCTTTACATGTCAGTTGATTTTCATCGCGTATAGGGCGAAAAAAGGAGATAGCATTTTCGTTTTCTTAGCGATATATCCATTCTTATACAGGAGCGACGGCCACTGGACGTGCACTGAAAAATGAGTATGAAGTCACTGCCTACGTATCTGGGCATGAGCATAACTACTGCATTCAAGAAGTCCATACGAAAAACTCACACCACTTCTCCCCATCTATAAAAACAGAGAGAAATTGCGTTTTCCACAGATTTAATACAAAGTTGGAATATGTTTAATGAGAACACCATATTCCTGTCACGTTAGGTGCAAACGGTTTGTCCTCCCCCCATACTGTGGCTTTTATGGAAAAATGGTGAACCCTATATCATTTACATTTCGTTAGCCTACGTTCAATTTTAGGTTTCTTAACGTCGTTCGGAATATATTCGATAAATGGAACACATGTATACAATTTTTTTTTTCTTTTCTTGCTTTTCATGCTGTCCTTGGGAACAGCAGCTTAACAACGTCGTTGCTAGGCGACACGCACAGGGGTGATTTTCTGATTATTTAAAGTCTGATTTACTCAAATAAATTATCTGTAAATAAAATCAAAGAAATACCAACACATTGCAGTCACAGTTTTATGTAGATTAGTTACCAATGTTACATAATTAAGCAAGCTGCTTAGTGTGATTTTATAATAACCATTGCTTTCAAAAAACATCCAAGGACAAAGTAAAATTATGCATTTTAAGTTGTTGATTTACTACAAATTAAATAAAGCGAGAGACCTTAAAAAAACAGATGCATTTTTTTTTTTAACAAACAATTTATTAACATCTCATTCAATAAGCAAACAGTACATCTAAAAAAAGAAAACAAATATCACTGCAGTTTTGGCACTACACTATACATAAGTGAGGTACTAAATGCTTGGACTGATTTCAAGTCATCAGGGAAAAGCAAACCAAGTACATTTTCTCTCATCTCAGTGGGTTTTTAGAAAAAGGTAAATGATGCGAGGGATAATAGGGGAAGAGGTCACGATTACAGACAGGCGGTGTGGTTATTTTCTTGCAACGAGACACATGAAATGGTCATCAAACAGTTCTCACAGCAAACGCATCACACAGCACAGCAGTGGGGAGCTTGCCCTCTCCCTTTCTTGCAAGAGTAGATGACAATGGGCTCCTTTGCTAAAAGCTCTGCCATCTCAGAAATGCCTTCTATGAAAAATTAAAACTTAGCACTTCAAAAAAAGTAAAATAAATAAATAAATATGTTTGTGCATATTTGCAATACGATGATAACACACATGCACGATGCATATAATCACGTATAGATCAAACAGACACACAAACATTGTGTGTTGCAGACAGGTGGCTTGAAACGAACACTTCGCTATTGGGAGATAGTAAAGAGTGTGTCTGACACTGGACATCATGATGGCTCAGAGTTGATACTTGGGATAGAATCCTGAGAAATGTATGGGACACTGGCAGATGGCTCTTCAAGCATCCCACAAAAGCACACACACACACACACACACACACACACACACACACACACATACACCTGTGCACATGCATACAAACAAACCAAAAAAAGAGGAAATAAAACTGTACAGTAATGTTACAAACTGCAGGTCATTCATTCCTGCTATGATTGATCCTTAAATATTAAGTATAGTAGAAATGTCAAGGAGCTAAATACATGAATACACAACTTGTCAATCCTTCTGTGTGCCACTCTTCTTCCAGGGTGATGCTGTGTCTTTCAGTTAAGAACTAGAGCATCCTCCCCAATGCAGGCTGGTATCTGTACATAGAAGTGAATCAAAAACACTCAAAAACTGGCTCAAAGAAAACTCCTCAAGGCTCATTAAATAATCCTTAAATCGTTTTCACTATTCATTGACAAATAATAATCAGGTTCTTTTGGATGTGCGTGTGAACAAAAGTCATAAGTATTTATCCTTCAAGAACAGTTTGAGATTGAAATGCTTTACCAGGTTTTAGGCATAGTAACAGGGGGAGACCAGTAAGTCAGTCAGGACCAGGAGCTGGTCATCTGTGAACTGCTGCTTATGTTGTTGCCAGTTGTCATGGTGAGTCCGTCGGAAGTTTGACAGAGTTTTCTTCACAGTCATCTGAAACAAAAAGACGTTTTTTATTTTTTGTAACAGAGTAAATCATAGTCATTGCACAGACAACAGTAGCTATGCAATTGTGGGAAACATGTGGTTGAGAAAGAACCCAACTCAAACAGTATACATTGATAAATAGGTGATAACCCTTACTTCAATGGGTTGTGTGTCATTGAGGTGAGCACTCAGGTCCATCAACAGCTGGGGCATCCAAGTGGGCACATCATATGGACTGGAGAGAATACAAGCGCTCAACCCGAGAACGCCTGCATGGCGCCGCATCAGGTCTACAAACACACAACAGGAGGGATTCCATTAATATCAGAAAACAGCATATTGGGTGTATCATCACATGTTCTAGAGAAGCCCCTTACCAGCAGAAGGTATAGTGTCCACTGTAGAGCCGAGCTCCCTCTTCCTCTTCTTAGGCAAGCGGGTCTTGCAGAGAGCCTCAAAATGTGCCTGCATGGGGGCGTCCATGGACAGGAAATTGCACTGAAGGAAGCCGCTGAGAGTAGTGGCGGCCATTTCTCTTACCTACAAAAGAAAGGCAAGAATGAATTATGAAGTGTTTTTTGTCACTAGAGTGCAACAGCAACTGGGTCATGATTTCTGGAAAGAGATATTGCATTGCATTTTGAGTACAAGCTGTATGCCATCTATTTAAATTATAAACAGGAGGAGGAGTCAGACATCACTCCAACCAATATCTCAGTAACACTCAGCAACTTGCACCATAATCAATTCACATTGATAAGAAACCATACAGGTTTGTTTTTTTGTATTTAGGGGGGGAACTGTCTCTTTAAGACAGATATATATATATACACTAACACAGAAGCGGGTTGCTCCTGAGTCACCGAGAGACAGTGGGGTTTGGATCCTCTGTGTGTGAATCACACGGTGACAGGTGTTCTAAAAGTTAATCCTATATTGTGCCAATTATGGGATAATTTAACTAGCGTAGCATCTCTGGCTGGTCTCTTATATGCCAAACTAACACACAAGCCCCAGCACCTTAACAACTCTTGCTGCACTGTATAAGACTCAGCAAAGCAACACTGTTATTAGGCAGGGTGTTCCACTGGTGCTCCACTGGCTAGCTGGATGGAAATAGCAGCCAGCTGGGCACTGGGGGTGGATGTGTGATTTGGGTATGTTTCTCTATAATAGGAGCTCAAATGGTCTGTCGCATATTGTATGTCTCCTCCCTCAATTAAATTCTTAGAAGGAAAGGTTAACTAATAAATGGGAATGATGCAGATCTCCAGAAGAAAGGCCTTTTTAGACTAAACGACCCCAGGGCCAATAGGTTACAGCTTTCCTCTTATGCTCTTTTAAGACACAAGATTTGCTGCAGCCCCCTCAGCCAAATCCGCCTTAGGTTAGTTTAAGAGGCCAAATAAAAATGGCTACTTCTATCCATCCCCCACTCCTCCTTTGTCTCTACTCCATCCCTCTCCCTCTCATCCTCCTTCAATCTGAACGTTATCTCCATAGCAACAGATTACTGCAGCCTGTGGTTTCCATGGAAACAGCTAGAGGACTGGAGGGGAGGGGGGGCCAGGAGGAGAGTGCTGAATCACTACAGTGAAGCTGAAAGACAGTGAGAACGTCTGCTAGCATAAACACGCATGTATTGGCCAAAAGCTAAACGGAGATTATATAACCAGACTGCCTTGTGTTTGTTCATATTACAGTGACGATTATGCCGGCATGTTTCAGCCTTACATATTTTATGATTGTAATGCTGTGAATGAATGGTTGTTTTTACCTCCAGCTGCTCGTCCTCCAGCAGTCGTACCACCAGCGCCCGGACTTCATTCACTGACTGCTGGTCATTCATGAAGGTGAACAGGTTGTAAAACACCATAATCTGGAGGTATGTGAGCACCGTGTAGCGAGCGTGCCAGGAGCTGCTGCCAGCAATCTGAAACACAACAATAAACCCATCCCAAATCAAGAAAATGTTCTGAGCATTTTGTTGGAGGAACAGACCAGCTCCAGCCAACCAAAAAGCACTTTTGTAATAAAGCTCCTCTTTTGTGCCACTTTTAAATGTAAAGAATATCAAACGGGTTAGAACAGATACGACTTCTTTAGCATGACTCTGCACAGCTTAGATTATGTTGTTGTTGCCAATTGCACATTCAAGAATCCCTGTAGAATCCTCCCCTCATATTAACCCTTTTTCAGATTTACTCTTATTATGCATCTTATGTAACCGATTAATTTAAGAATGCATGTTTAGCAGTCAAACTTAAAAATCTCATTCATTTGTCATTCCCTTAGAGCCTTTCCTCTTTTTTGTGCGAAAATAACTTCACAGGTTATACGAAGCGGGGTTCTGTAAAAAGCCCAGTCATGTGTGATGCAGGTAAAAAGTGGAATAATAGCCTCAGCTGCCAGATGACTCACCTCCCGCAGGCCCCTGAGGACCAGGGGGATCTGCTCTGGGTAAAGGAGTCCCTGAGACATCAGAGACAGGCAGGTCTTTGCATCCCTCTTCAGTTCATCGTAACTGTCGTCATTCTCGACGGGAGCAATCTGGTACAGAGGACAGAGAGAGGTTAACGGGAAGGCAGGTGTCTTTTAAGATCCCTGTATGGGGTATGCATTAAAAGTGAAAATGTAAAGTTTGCAGGGAGAAAGCTAGAGGATCAAAGCTTTGAATTAATGAGTGTTTCACCTTGAAGAGCAGGGGAAGCAACCGTAGCTGTTCTGGGACCGCAGTGGAGAAGGAGCGACCAGCACTCGCTATCAGCCACTTCAGCACTGCAGACAGGAATATTTATGTTAAACACTCATGTTTATAACAAAAATAGATGTTTATTTACTCATTGTGATGGTTCAGTATCAGGGATAAGATCCTCGACCCACCTGTTTTGAGCAGCTTGATGGCTTGCGTCCTCTCGTCCTGCTCTCCCACCTCGTTCTCCTCGACCACGTGGTTCTGGATCTCCTCGTCGCCCTCGGTGAGAGGCTTCAGCTGCAGCAGAATCCGCTCTGTGAAGTCGGAGATGCGCGGGGACGTGGTCGGCTGAGTGCATGGCAAGTTGACATCGATCATGAAGATGTACGTGAGCACGCTGGAAGGAAAGCAAATCAGAAGTGATACGATGAGACACAAAAAGCTTTAAAAGAGTAATTCATGACATTCACTAGGGAGGTAAAAAAAGGACCGTACCTGCCAATGCGTTCCCGTACATTCTTGTACACCTGTGTGAGTTTGGGCTCCAGGTATTGAAGCAACCTGTGGAGCAGCTCTGGAACACGCCACTCCTGCTGAGCAAGGCCTCCCTGCAGCACATACAGACGACTGGAGAGCAAAAAGAAAGCACCGTTTTGTCATTCACATCAACATCAGAATCAGATTTAGGTTTATTGCCAGGTAGGTTAACACATAAGAGGAATTTGACTTGGTGCTGTGGTGCATACATAAAAATAAAACGAAAACTATTTGAAGAAAACTATAAAAGCATTAATAAAATATAGCAGTATTTACATTGAATATGGTTGAAGTAGAATTGGTATCAAATATGTGTAGTAATGACAAACAAGATATTGTTTACATTGTGTGCATTAATGTAATGCATACAGTCTATGATGTGCAACATGTGCTTTAGGCTGCACCCTCTACTCACCAGGCGTCGACGAAGGAGCCCCCCTCTCCGTTGACAGGAGACTCCATCAGAAGCTCAAACAGCCAGTGGAGCTTGCGTGGGTCTCTACTCTCCTATACGAGACAGAATCAACAGTCATATAAAAAAGGAAGCATGAGTGACAAAAGTTTAACAAATGGAAGATTAAAGCAATGATGCATATAAACGGGCAGAAGCTTACACAGGCTGTGGCAATGCAGGTTCCCCAGTCTGCGTACGTTTCTATGGTGATGTTGGACAGGGCCGTACGGAGCAACGGACACAACAGCTCCCAAAGTTTCTCAACCTGTAAAAGTTCACAAGGCGGGATATATTAAAAATACTACATATTCTCCTGAAATTCAGAATCAAGTTTATTGCCAGGTACGTTTACACATACAAGGAATCTGCTTTGGTGTCTGGTGGTGCGAACATAAACAATCTAAAAACATAAGTTGCAAAGTAGGTAAAAAAAAGAAATATATAAGGATAATAAAAAACAAGTATTTTAAGAAACAATTTAGCATTAAAAAAGGATGCTAAAGACAAAGTATTAACACCAATTTAAATGTAACTATACACTAACCTTAAAAGCTTGGGACAATGAGTATATGGCAAACTACAGTGAATTATATTTTGAAGTGGAGGGCTGTGCAGACATGTGTGCAAAAAGCGAACTTCAGCGAAATTGTTCACGTTTACAAACTCCGATAACTTTTTAAATGCATCGTCGGAATTTCCCAAGCGGTTTGAGTCAGCTTACTTTGTGAGAATGTCCTTTCCCCTACCTTTGCATAGCTCCAGTGCTTGCTGCCTCTGATCAGCCCGGAGATGATCTCTGCAACACAGCGCTGCTTGCTCTCGTGGGAGTCGGCCACCAGGCGCTCCATGTGTGGCCGCAGCAGGGGAAGAAAGATGTCTCCGAAATTGCGGAACAATCCCTGGAGAGAGCAGGAGAAGGGAACAGATTCATTTCCTTACCGGCCGACTTTAGCTGCTTCAATCCGTTTAACACTACTCTCAGCGAATCTCACCTTGAAGAGACAGAACCTGCGAGGGCTGAACTTGTCCTTTCCCTTACGCTCCTCCAGGGAGAGGAACTCGATGAACTGATTGATGAAGACTGGGTCGGAGAAGTGGTCAAAGATGATCTGTTCCCGCTGTCAGCACACATTCAATTTAGTAAATGTGGTTAACATTATTTAACATTACTATGTGCGTTATATATTTTTCATAAGGGGAGAGCGATTGTGCACAAACCTCTGTCATTTCCTCTCTGGTCAGGTTCTGTTTGGGCTGCTCCTCCAGTGGGGCATATATCATCAGTTTTCTAGAGAACAATATTGAAGAGATGATGAATAAAAACAAGACGAAAGAAAGTATCCAACATTCTTTGAGACAGCAAAAGACAGTCAGGTAAAGAAAATAAGACATATAAAACCTTGGCCAGCTGTAATATCCCCAGTGTGTTTTCTCCACGAACACACAGGCATCCCAGTCCTTCTGCGTGCGTGGCAGGCTGCTGCTGTCATACTGGAGCCACTTGTTGTCTTGACGATCCCCTGCTACATTACCACTCAGCTCCTTCCCTCCACCTAACAAAGATTGGTTATTTTTGAGACCAGTTTTAAACTATACATAAAGTGTGAATGGAGATACAAACAAGCCCTTGTGATTCTTACAGAGCTCCGAGGGGCTGATGGGGACTTTCTTATGCGGCCTCTTTATCTGTTTCATGATCCCTGCCACAGCGGATATCGCCACCTAGTGGAACACGGGAGATATTTCAGACCAAATGTCCACAAGAAACACTGGACTGCATCCATATGCATTAGAATCACAACACCAATAATACACTTCTCATTATTTTTGCATTTGCCCCACCTTGCGAACATAGAGGGAGTCATGGTTGAGGCTTTTGACAAAGAACGTGACGGCAGATGGTGGGAGCAGGCGGTCGTCTCTCAGCAGCAATGACATGAAGCCGATTGCAATGTGTTCGAACTTCCAAGGCCTAGAATGTTAAAACAAAGTAATTGTTACAGGCCAATAAATGCATACATAAATGATTTGAAGAAGTCACTTTTAAATGAACCTACATGTTGCTGTTGTTGAGGAATTCCAGCAGATCTCCAATGAGCTGATGGTAATTTCTACAAACAAGTAGAAGAGCATTAGTACTTAAACCCTGTAATCGAGCTCATCGTGTTGACATTCAATTAGTTAGCACATCATCTTAACAAATGCTGTGCAAGTACTTTCAAAAGTTCTATTCTCCAGGGAGAAAAGACCAAGTTGTGAACTTGAGAAATAGCATCTTTGAATTCAGCTATAGATATCTGGTCTTTGTCTTGAGTACTGATGAACTTACTGAACACATTCTGCATTCTTGAGCTCCTGCTTTTTCACACCCTCTGCTACTTCCTCCTCTGAAGGAACAGGCTCCTTGGGAAGAGGATTTCCAGTGATCATGAGTCGTTTGGCCACAGTAGAGCACTCACCCTCAATCTAAAGGAATGCAAAAGATGAAACATATAGTATCAGACATACTTTGCTCAAACATGTCAGAGGAAATCAAACTCAAAGCAAGGACTGATATGTATGTTTGGAGTGTAATGGAAAATAAATCCTATCTAAACATGTATTTTGGGACTGGCTCTATGGGAGCAAGAATACTGAAATGTATATGTAAAACTGCAGATACATTTTCTCTGTTTACAAACTCAAAATGAACGTTGCAACCTTTGACACAAATGAAGATTATGACATTCTAGTCGTAAAGATACTTGAGATATTATAGTTGAAAGCTAGTTTTGAAAAGATTTGTTTAAAGAAGAAGGCAAACTAGCTGAAGAGAGCCATAAATGCCCCTCTTTATGACAGTGTTTTTTTGCAGCTTTGCTTTAACTTAGCTGCTGGGGACAGGAATTTTAAAAAACTGACTGGTACTAGCACTGTATTTCATTTCATTTCATTTGTATTTGTCCCGCTCATGGTACGCAAAACCAAATGTACAATAATTGCCACAAAACATGACTCTACCATTGAGCGAAAAGGAGCAGGGAGAAGAATAAAATCTTATGTGACCTGCCCCTTTCTAAAAAAAACAAATAAATACAAATAGATGGTCTGCCCTTCATTATAATACTTTTTTTTTTTTTCTTTTTTCCACAGCCAAACATAACAGTATCTTAGGATACTAAGAGAAACACACAAAAAAATACTTATTTCCCACTTGACGGTTAACGGAAAGAAACAAAACAACACCAAAACATCACATGTATAAGGAAAAGAAAAGTGCAACGCCCTCATCTGAGTCCTACTGGAGAAGAAGGTGGAAAGCGACACATGATGATAATAATAATAACAATAACAATGGGACCCGCAAATACAGAGGAGACATCACATCAAAGACATCAAAAACATGAAGGACCAGAGTACATAGACTTATTCACATTCTGCTTCATATAGTCCCATCTTTCTTAATTTATACAACTTCTTTAACTGAAAAATACATATACAATTCTTTAGATCCTTGTGTTGAGAATTCCACAATTGTACACCAACTACCGAAATACACATTTGTTTAAGAGTAGTCCTTGCATATGGATGCTTAAAATTTAATTTCCTTCTGTGGTCTTCCTTGTCTGATCCAAAAACAAACAACCGTTGTAAATATGCTGGTAACATTCTGCTTTTTGCCCTGTGCATTACTGATAATGCACAGGGTATTAAGAACATCTAATTAAGAGACTGACAGTAGAGCTTTTCTTTATTTGGTTTATTATATAAGACTTACATTTATTTTCTTTCTTTTAAGTTTTCATGTACTGATTTGTATGTCCAATGTCGGTTGAAATGTCCTCCTCAGTACTGAAAACAACATTGTTGTCCAACAAATGTTGGAACCAATCAAACTTCACCACATATTTTGAGTCACAAAATAAAATACTCTGATATTTGATATATCATTTAGATGTGTATTTGATATATTGAGCTTCTACTATAACAGGTAGGCAGAGATCAACATTGCCTTTGATTCTATGTTTCATTTGTGAAAGCCTTCTCTGTGATGTACTTACAGCAAAGTCGATGCCGATGGTCTCGTACTGGCGATGGATTTTGTCTGCAAGGTCATCAAAGAGCCGCACAATGGAGGGTTTCTCCAGAGACATGGCTGAGCTGAGGCCAGAGCGCACGATGGCGGGCCACGTCAGAGCAATGCAGTCCCAGTCGTGCAAATTGGCCAGGCACACTCCACCGTGGTTCCCCAGGAAACAGTACAAGGCACCCTGGAGAGGTACAGATGTGGAGCATGTTTAGGAGCAAAAACTCAAAAGTGTAAAAATATGTGAGTTTGTTTGTTGTATAGCACAACACAGAAAAGGACTGCCGTACTTTGAACTGCTGCTGTGAGACACTGCTGGTGTCCGGGTTCAGAAACTCCAGGACATGTGGGATCAGATCTCTGCAGCAGAAATTGTAGGTCCCCAGTGCCGTGAACAACACATTTTGAGCCCTGGTGCGTACCTGGAAGGCGATAAAGAAAAGTCTCAGTTAGATTATTATATACCGTCAAATGTCTTTGTGATGTATGATGTGTAATTGCTCAAATGTAAACACTGTTGAGTGTCACTCACTTGGCTGTATGTGCTTGTGGACAACCTCAACAGATCTCTCATCAGCTCCCGGTGAATGCTCCTGTACTGACATCCTTCCACTGTCAGCTTCCGCAGCTGGTAAAACGCAAAGATTCAAAGTTATAAATAGTAACAATATACAAGGATACCCAATAAGGTCATTTCTCTGGGAAAGACTTACCTCATGCTGGAGCATAACTCTGTCTATTAGCAGAGCTCTGATGTGCTGCTTTCTGCCGTGAAGCTGCAAATACAACGGTGAGGCATTTTAGATTTTTACAAACATAAATAGAGAAACTGCAATACAGTACAATCTAAAAAGGGCATTATACACTTTGATACATTACGAAAAGGATAACAGCAGTATAAAAGTAACAAAAATACAATAACATGTTAGGTTTCTCACTCTGTTTTCCATTGATTTCTTCACAAGGTTGAAGCTCTTCCAGCGGGAGTCAAACTCATGTTTGTGAGAACCTTTGAATTGCAACAGGTCGCTGATGATCTGAAAGGTATCACAGACAGAAATATTGATAAGAGTTGGGCGATAGGATCAATACAAAGCTCCTGGCAATAGCCTGTGATGAGTATTGAGTGATTCAAGCCGGCAAACGTGATTAAAGTCAATTCAGGGATAACCTCTGCCTACACAATGTCCCACGCAGTGTGTGATACCTCCAGCACACACTGCACTGTGGCCTGAAATCATGCGAGTTTGGCTTTTAACCCAAATATATAAATGCTGGTAGGGTCCGGCAAAGTGCAACAGGGAAAATGTGCCTTATAGCCTGACCTCTGATATAGGCACATTATTCAGCACAAACACATAGGAGTATACAGACTAATATGCTACTGTGTGTCTACCTTGATGATGGAGAAAAGAGACTTGGTGTCGTCTTCAGAGTGCTCCAGGATGTAATCTGCAAAAAGAGTTTGAGGTTTATTGTGAGTTTGAACACAAACTACAGCCTGGTTAGAGATGTGGCTGTAGGGAGAGTAACTGAGGGAACTCTTACTCAGCAGCTGTCTCATCACTCTGCACACAGCATCTCTGTAGTTCTCTCTGGTGTCATCTGCCGGTACAGATAATATTACAGTGTCAGATAATAGTCAAACAAACCCTATTACTTTTGTTAACAAAACAGTTTGTAAGAAGGGCTTTGCTTACCATACTCCACTCCAGTGTAGAGGGTGGTCTCATCTAGATTCACCATGCTTTGGACCCTGAGGGGTAAAACCAGGTTCAAAGCCAAGTCAGCTACTTAAGTCTTTGAAACTAAAATGTGCCGTTCAATTGACTTCATAAAGTCCTTAGCAACAATTCTACAACTTAAGAATATATACATATATATAGGTCATATATCCATTTGGGATATTTCTGTTGTTCTTCAGAACCAAGCATATCTGCTAACAGTTTTCCTTGAGGAGATTTAAACTAAGATGTGTTTAACTGTGTCTTTCTCTGGTTTTCTTGGTCAGAAAGGAGATTATTATGTGAAAGCATGTGCTCACAGTTTAGGGATGGTCTCTCCCTTCAGTGCCGGCATCAGACTCCCAGCCCCGAGGAGGCAGTGCTGAATGATAGTCAGGCTCTGTAGGACGTCATCTCTGAAAAACACAAGAATCAACACGAGTCCTATAAATACATGCATGACGGAGCCAAACAGAGATAGACTGAAACCAGTTTACGTCTAGCAACTTCTGTATTTGTATTGCTGTAGGAGGCACAGGTGAACACTCAAACTTAGTTTTGCATACCTGCTCATGTCCTGTTCTCCCTGTGCAAATCTCTGAAGGCGCTGGAGCTCAGGCTGGAGGATCAGGTCGAGTAAGTAAAAAGCAAAGGATGTTTCCTCAACACTCGGCACATGCCACCGGATATCCAAATTCCACAGGTCTCCAGGCCGGCCCCAGTCCTGCATGGGACAAACACATTGTGCTTTTGCTTAATATACAATACTTTTGTTGACTTCAGGCTACAATAACACCACAAAATATATATATTTGGTATGTCTACATATCACTTAGTATGTTCTCATCTGATTTGCATCACATTCATGTTCTGAAATATATAAAATAGGACCTGAATATTAGGCATTATCAACACACAAACTTCCCAGAGACTGCACTTTGGCTAGTTACTAAATCCAATCATGATGTACAAAACTAAAACCCCACTGACACCACTATTTTCCTGTTTAATGGGTAAAGGTAAACGATTTAACACGTGGTTAGACATGCAGTATACTTAGGCTGGCCACAATAAAAGGCCACTCTGAAATGTTCAGTTTTATCACACAGCACAATGCCACAGATGTCGCAAGTTTTGAGGGAGCGTGCAATTGGCATGCTGACAGCAGGAATGTCCACCAGAGCTGTTGCCCGTGAATTGAATGTTCCTTTCTCTACTATAAGCCGTCTCCAAAGGCGTTTCAGAGAATTTGGCAGTACATCCAACCGGCCTCACAACCGCAGACCACGTGTAACCACACCAGCCCAGGACCTTCACATCCAGCATGTTCACCTCCAAGATCGTCTGAGACCAGCCACTCGTACAGCTGCTGCAACAATCGGTTTGCATAACCAAAGCATTTCTGCACAAACTGTCAGAAACCGTCTCAGGGAAGCTCATCTGAATGCTCGTCGTCCTCATCGGGGTCTCGACCTGACTCCGGTTCGTCGTCGTACCCGACTTGAGTGGGCAAATGCTCACATTCGATGGCATCTGGCACGTTGGAGAGGTGTTCTCTTCACGGATGAATCCTGGTTTTCACTGTTCAGGGCAGATGGCAGACAGCGTGTGTGGCGTCGTGTGGGTGAGCGGTTTTCTGATGTCAATGTTGTGAATCGAGTGGCCCATGGTGGTGGTGGTGGGGTTATGTATGGGCAGGCGTATGTTATGGACGACGAACACATGTGCATTTTATTGATGGCATTGTGAATGCACAGAGATACTGTGACGAGATCCTGAGGCCCATTGTTGTGCCATTCATCCACGACCATCACCTCATGTTGCAGCATGATAATGCACGGCCCCATGTTGCAAGGATCTGTACACAATTCCTGGAGGCTGAAAACATCCCAGTTCTTGCATGGCCAGCATACTCACCGGACATGTCACCCATTGAGCATGTTTGGGATGCTCTGGATCGGCGTATACGACAGCGTGTTCCAGTTCCTGCCAATATCCAGCTACTTCGCACAGCCATTGAAGAGGAGTGGACCAACATTCCACAGACCACAATCAACAACCTGATCAACTCTATGCGAAGGAGATGTGTTGCACTGCGTGAGGCAAATTGTTTTGTTGCCTTTATTTAACCAGGTGAAAGCCCCTTGAGATCAAAAGATCTCTTTTTCAAGGGTGACCTGCAGGACATTAGTTACACATGTAACATAAAAACAACAATAAGGATGACATACAACATAATGTACAGGGTACAGTTTACAAACTCTATTTACAGAGACAGGTACCATGAGTATCAAACAGCATGTCACCCAGCTGAGTTTTAAAATGATGCAGGGGAACCAAAGTGCTCAGTTTTAAACATGTTTGCAGACTGTTCCAATTTAGTGGAGCTGCACAACTAAAAGCTTTCTTCCCTAAGACAGTCCTAGCACTTGGCACATTTAATAAAACAACATCATGAGATCTCAGGCAATATGTACTTTCAATTCGTCGAGAGATCAGAGAGCAGATATAAAAAGGTAGTTTACCCAACATGGCTTTGTAAATGAAAATGTACCAATGACTGAGCCTCCGTACAGTTAGTGAAGGCAGACCTGCCTTGGCATACAGGGTACAGTGATGAGTAAGTGCTTTACAGTTAGCAACAAATCTCAGGGCACTGTGATAGGCGGCATCTAACTTTTCCAGGCCATTGCCTGGAAAAGGCAATGGCCGGTGCATTCATATAGATCAAATCACCATAGTCCAGCACAGGTAAAAAGGTCACAGTGACTAGCCTTTTCCTGGCTTCAAAAGAGAAACAGGACTTGTTTCTGAAAAAGAAACCTAGTCTAACCCTCAGCTTTTTAAGCAGGTTATTGACATGAAGTTTAAAAGTAAGACAATCATCAAGCCAGATTCCTAGGTATTTATAACTGGTAACCACTTCAAGTATTATTCCTTGCATAGTAACAATATCCAAAACAGGCTCTGGTGTCTTTTTAGCTTTTGTAAATAGCATTACCTTGGTTTTATCAACATTTAAAAGAAGCTTAAGTTCAGCGAGCTGAGTCTGAATAATGTTAAAAACAGCCTGTAATTTAACACCAGCCTCCTTAATGGAGGGACCTGCACAATACATCACGGTATCATCAGCATACAAATGTAAAGTAGCTTCATCCACATTTTCACCTAAACTGTTGATATATAGAGAGAATAAAAGTGGACCTAAAACAGAACCTTGAGGAACACCATTAGCAATGTTTAACCACTCAGAAGACAGCCCATCAAAGTGAACACATTGGGACCTTTCAGAGAGGTAGTTCACAAACCACCCCACTGCATGGCTGGACATGCCGATACTGAGTAGCCTCTGTTTTAAGATGCGATGATCAACGGTATCAAACGCTTTGGATAGGTCAATAAATAGAGCTGCACAACTCTGCTTATTGTCTAAAATACTCGTAATGTCATTCACCACTTTCATTGTGGCAGTGATGGTGCTATGTTGCTTTCTGAAGCCTGACTGATGTTTAGACAGGATATCATTTTTACATAAAAACTCCTTTACCTGTTCACTCACTAGGCGTTCGAGCACCTTCGCCAGAACTGACAATTTAGAGATTGGCCTATAGTTATTTAATAAGGTGGCCTCCCCTCCTTTTAGCAAAGGCAAGACATAAGCTGACTTCCATACTTTTGGAATTGCATTTGTGCTGAGAGAGAGGTTAAAAAGAGTAGTAAGAGGAAGAGCAATAAAATCTGCAGCTATCTTTAAAAAGAAAGGTTCTACGTTGTCCGGGCCAGCCGGTTTCTTAGGATCTAGCTTAGATAAGGCTTCATGAACAACATTGACAGTAAAAGGAGTAAAACTGAAAGGGTTTTCCAGACCACATTGTTCAGAGTCACAGATTGGGGTGTTCACAGAAGCAGAGTTAGTCACAGAATCAAACATAGAACCGCAGGACACAAAATGCTCATTAAAGCAATTTAACATAGTGGCCCTGTCCGATATAGTGCCAGATGCTGTGGTAAGGCACGGAGGTAGCTCATTACGGATCTCACCGGTGGATATCGATTTTATTGCTTTCATTATTGCAGGATTATTTAAGTTTTCTGTGGTAACTGACAAATAGTACTTCGACTTTGCACTTTTGACATGTGAAGTAAAGCTATTCCTTAGCTGCCTAAAACGCAGCCACTCTACCTCTGAGCCTGATTGCCTAGCCTTGGCCCAGGCCTTGTTTCTCTCATGAAGGAGACTGGAAAGTTCAGCAGAAAACCAAGGATTGTCTCGTCCCTTTACTCTAAATTTACGCAGGGGTGCATGTCTATCAATGATCTCCATAAAACCAAGATAAAAATAAGACCATGCGGTTTCCACATCAGCACACAGATCGATTTTACCCCAATCAAAATCAAACTGATCATGCACAAAACCCTGCTCAACAAAATGTTTTTTGTCTCTCTTAATGATAATGCGAGGTTTAACCTTTTGGACCTTATGGCGCATTTCCACTGCAACGGGGTAGCCCCGTTTAAGCGTCCCTAAGCGTCCTCGCTCAGGCCTCGGGCTGCCTCGCTGGCCGTCCGAGGCCGTGGCGCATTTCCATTACAGTTTAGGACCTGGGGTAGCAACGCAGTGTAGGCGGGGCGATCGGCTTTGTTTTTGTTCACATTTCGAGTTGTTCCGTCGAGCTCCCGCTGGATTTGATCATCCCCAATGAGATGTAGGAACGTCGTCACCTCCTCGGTCGACCACGGTGTGCTTTTCTTATTAGACGTAGCCATTTTTGTAGCTCATCCGTTTACAAAATGCCGTTTATAAAAATGCTGCACGCTTGCTTCTAAATATATATGCGACGCTAGGGATGAACTCGCGCGCGATCTTGTGACGATTCTCTCTGACCAATCAGCAGTCGAGAGTGTTGACGTCACTAGTTCAGCCCTGGCCCTGGTCCGATAGAACCACGATTTTATGGGGCCGGAAAAAGAGGGAAAAAGTACCCGCTAGCCGGTACTAGGCTATATGGAAAGGCCACCAAAAACTGGCCTGGCCACTTGAGGACGGTTAAGGACGCTTAAACGGGGCTACCCGCTGCAGTGGAAATGCGCCATTAGTGTCCCTAATTGTGGCTACAACACAGTGATCGCTCAGATCATTTGCAAATACTCCCACAGATGAATATTTATGGGGAACATTAGTTAAAATGAGATCAATTAGGGAGAATTTATTAGGGGACTTAATATTTGGGCGAGTAGGACTGTCAACAATCTGAGTAACATTCAAAGAGATACAAAGGTTTTTAAAATCCTCTGACACTGCAGTTAACCAGTCCCAGTTAAAATCTCCAAGTAGCACTATTTCCTTGTAGTCTAGTTGTGATAAAAGATTTGCTAGTGAAGACAAGGAGTCTTTGACAGCTGAGGGGGGTCTGTAACAACTCACTACCATGACCTGTTGACCCTTTGCCACTTCTATATTTATGGCTAAAAATTCAAATTGCTTACTGATCGATTTGGAAACTAATGTGGTTACACTGAACTTATTCTTAACATAAATGGCAACGCCACCACCTTTATTACACATTAAAACCATTTAAGGCAATGTCAGAGGCCAAAATAGATTTGTTTAGCCATGTTTCTGATAAAACAATGACGTCAGCGTCAGTTGAGCTCGCCCAGATACGGACAAAATCTAGTTTACCTAACAGACTGCGCACATTCAAGTGGATGAAACCCAACCCAGACCTAGCTTTAAAATCAGCAGGAGTAGCGATCTGACTACTACTACTGGGCGGACCAGGGTTAGGTTGTACATTTCCTGACAGTAATAACAAACAAAAACAGGCATCTTTTCCTCTTAAACGACACAAATACATTGTCATTTAATTTAGAAACACCGGAAAAGTCTGCGAGAGTGTGATTAGAGCTTAAAGAGCCTGTGACAGCATCCCAACAACTGTTGTGCAATGAAATATTGGGCTACTAGTAATCTCGAACCGTCAGTTAAAAAAAGAAAAAGCGATACCGTTACGTTAAATATCAATAATTTCGAACATCGCGGGGAAATTCCTTCGACTCATTTTGAAGTTTTGGGGGAAGCCGGAAGTGACATCAATGCGGGAACCCTTCACTGTGCGGCGAGAGAGCCAAACACGGACAAAGTGTGTTGTCATGCGTAGAAATGGTGAATTACTGAGTTTAGGCACGTTAATAACGTTTTAATGAAGTTAACTACAGTATATTCATATTTGTCAGTGCTTTCATGTCAATTCGGTGAACATAAACATAAATGATCGTGGTGAAGATGATGATTAAATTAGGATTCAAAATCGGTAGTGAGAGCTGCTGAATTTCCTCCCGTAGGATGTGATATAAAGACAAATCGATTATTTTTGTAGTTGTAAACTCAAGTGGATGAAACTACATTTATTAGTGCTTTCATGTCAATTCGGCGAACATATGATACATTAAATGATCGTGAGAATGATGATTACAAATCGTTTGTTTGTGCCGGTCTGCATTTCCTGATGAGAAAACAAACCGATGCTTTTTGTAGTTGTACACCAACATGGATTAAACGTGTGGTTTTTTCACCACAATGTTGGGGAAATTAATGGATAAAATGCACGGATTATTATTATTATTATTCCCACTCCGATCGGGACACTAGGTCCACCGTTTCCCCGCAGCGAGGCTCCCCCCGTTGACAGTTTACGTGGGCGGGGTGCAGTGGCGGACTGGCCATCGGGATTCGTCCCGATGGGCCGGTACCGAAGTGGGCCGGTCTGATAAGTCACTAGCACATCCCCCATAGGCGGCGCGTGAGGCTCAGGTTTGGGAAGGCTAAATAACTTTTTTTACGCCTCCGGCGTCTATAGAAAAGAGATCAACTCAGTGTGCGGAGTTTAAATCTATCAAGTCATATTACAGGATAAAGGAAATACAGTTTAAACTGCCGAAGACGCCGACGTGTCGCACTTATCATTCATATTACATCATCAATCAGATCATCGATCATATAATATATCATATATTTCCTTATCTGAGTCAGCTTCTCCAGCCGTATCTGGCCGTGCAATACTTACAGTGTCACATACTGTATGCAGAAGTATTATTTTAAGCAACACATTATGTTGACGAAACACTCGAGTCAAATGTAATTAAAGTCAGATCCACTCATGTCTTAGACGTGAACGCGCTCTCAGCTGGTGAGAGAAACCCTGGCTTGATTTACCGAGTTGATAACCAGCGTCGTAGGACCGCTTAGCGAGATCTCGTTTGTTAGTTTGTTATTGTTGTTAGTTTGTTACTCAAACATATCCAGGGTCTGTTGAACTGGCTTCGTAGTACAGGGCACAGGTGGCTAGCAGCGCTAATGTCAAAGACACAGACATTGCATTATATTTTTATTTTACCAGGATGCAGTGACACAAATATTTACATATTTACATTTACTATCTACAGCACCCGCCGCCCCTGACATCCCCCACTCCCCCCGTTGACAATTTACTCGCGGTACCGAAGTGGGCCGGTCGAGAGTCCCGGGATGATTTTTTAGTCCCATTCCACCACTGGCTACATGACCGTATGATCGCCCATATTGACGCACCTAATTCCTAAACTTCTAACATACAACATAAACCGATCCTTCAGACTCATATGAGCTCTCAGACACGTTCAAAATTAAACTGTCATCGCTGTCTGAGCTTGCTGCTGTGTGCGCCATCGTGCATTTACATGCAGATGCTGGGATCCTGAACGGTGCAGCTGGAGCGCTGTGCCCGCAATGACGTCACACATAATTTGGCGGGACTTGAAGAATCCCCGAGAAGATCCAGGAAATGGTCAACATTGAAGGGCAGATTAATGGTTATCAAAGTACAAATATCCAAAATCAGTTCAGTAACGGTTTTCAAGGGGACAATATTTACTCAAATTGATGGGTTTGGATGATGGGGGAAACTTGTGTCACAGGCTCTTTAAGAAGCAGTCCTGAAGAACCATCATCGCAGGAAAATAAAAAAGACAAACATATTTTGTCGAGCAGATTGACTGTGACAAGGCAACCGGTAATTGTTTGAGCAACACATCCGAACCTTTGCAGGGGATGCCCACTGCGGGTGGCAGAACAGACCTGAATCCAGTAGTCTTCTCAGAATGACTAGAGATCGCAGGCAGCAACAGGTGGAGCCGCTCCGTCTCTTCGCGACGAGCAGGCCTCCGTAAATCGCAGATCGCATGCAGCAACAGGTGGAGCCGCTCCGTCTCTTCGCGACGTCTCCGGAGGAAAAACACCTCAGTACAGCCGTACTCGACAGGTGAGAGTAAGCCTCAACAGTTCGCAGACAACTAAAACCACTACTTGTATAAGCAGGGATGGCTAAAAGTTTGTAAGCAGGAGAGCTAGATGCTAACAGATGCTAACAGATGCCAGATGCTAACAGGTAAGTGCGAGCCTGTAGAAATTGCGATGACTCCAATGACAGCGTAGGTGTGAGTGTGGTGGTCACACCAGATACTGACTGGTTTTCGGACCCCCCCCCAATAAAGCAAAACTGCACGTTTCAGAGTGGCCTTTTATTGTGGCCAGCCTAAGGCACACCTGTGCAATAATCATGCTGTCTAATCAGCATCTTGATATGCCACACCTGTGAGGTGGGATGGATTATCTCGGCAAAGGAGAACTGCTCACTATCACAGATTTTTTCAGATTTGTGAACAATATTTGAGAGAAATGGTTATTTTGTGTATATAGAAAATGTTTTAGATCTTTGAGTTCATCTCATGAAAAATGGGAGCAAAAACAAAAGTTTTATATTTTTGTTCAGTGTAGTATCCATGCCTGCGCTGATGAAGCTACTTAATGGAATAAAGCCACGAGCTGTCTTCACTCTATCTGTTTGAAGGGAGGATTATTCAAACCAGGTCATAGTGAGTGCCACAAAGAGTTGTATGGCTTGTCTGGGCAAAGATTGGGTTGTAATGTCCCCTTTAACCACTTTTGCTTGGACCTTGCTTTGATCCAGAACCAAACTTTATTTGGCAGTAGACCAAACATCTGTACACTTTTATGACTAAGGTTGCAACTAAAAAATCTGTCAACATACAGGCGGAAATATAAAAACCTGGCAAAGCAGACAGTACTGCTTTTCCAGAAATTCCCACTACAGTAGGTGTCTCCACGAGTACTTTTTGCCATGAAGACACACAAATAGACTGACACACAAAAGCAGCTTTGCTGTCGCCTTTGCTGTACCTTGATGGGTAAGTAGTCACTGGTTGGCTGGTGGAAGCCTCCTGGCACACTGCAGTACTCTTTGGGGTAGAGGAGAGCTGAGGAGCGGAGGAGGTGGTGCAGCAGGTTGCAGGCCAGAGTGTAGCCCTGCTTACACTTGAGGTGGAGCGTCAACTGCAAAATCTGGACCACCTCGGAGCGATAGGGGAGGACTTTGTCACCATCAACCCGGGTCACCTGAGGTGCACACGACATAGAGGGCACAATATAGTGAGTACAGATTTATAGATAGGAGACGTTGTCTATAGCAGGGAACTTAGAGGTTAAGTTAGTGAATAATAAGTGCTCCACATTACCTCAGACAGTAGCTGGAGATTCCACATCAACTCCTTGTCAAGCTCCTCCTCATTCAACACTTCCTCATCTGTTTACAAATAGTGTGTCAGGCATATGACTAAGACTCATGGAAGAAAACATAAATGATGAGTTTGAAAAACCTCCTCTTATAGAAATATAGTACTTACTCTCAGCGATTTGGTTTATGGCATTGCAGCAGTGTGGCACAAACAACTTGAGTGACTCTGCAGGGTGACACTGAAGAAAGAAGCACAGAGAGGATGAGAACAGCGATTAATAAGCTACATGGAAGTTGATGGGCCATAAAGAAGAGTCTGAGGGGACTCACCTTGGAAGCGGCTCTGCACATGTCAGCCACCATTCTGCCAGCTACTCGTGTCTCAAAGATGTTGGTGGTTGCAAAGTTGAACACCTTTTTAAGAGCAACCTGTTAAAACAATGGGAAAAATGTGTTCATATTTATAGTAGGCTGTCAAGTTATCGCTTTAATAACGAAAACATTTTTTAACGCCACTAATTATTTTAACGTGCGATTAACGCATTTGTACTCGGCCCGCCCCGTAGTTTGAGAGCCCAAAGGCTTGACGTTGTTGTTGTTGTTAGTTGGATGGTGGGAGATTCTAGCGAGAGATATGGATACAAAAAAAGGTGTTTTAAACAGCAAGCCAAGCACACAGCTGATGCTGACAGCCCCGCTCCTGCCGCTCGCTTGCGGCATGCCGGGGAGACGCCTGGACACGGCGTCTACGAGCAGCAAGCTTTCAACAGCGATAGCTAAATGGGTGGCGGTGTCTACAGCTTGCAGGACAATTAACATTGTGGAGGACGAGGGACTGTGTGAGATCATTCGGATCGCATCCAACGTGTAGACTGCACATCACAGCGCATTATTTTGACCCCTGTGGGAACTTCAGTGTCATGCTTTGACTGTTATGAAGACAGAGGAGCGGCATTTCGCCGACAACTGTAAACAGGCTTGTCTGTTCGAGTAACTGGCTCAGTGCAGAGAAGTACACGGGGTTGGGAGAGAGTGAAGAGAGAGAGAGAGGTTCCAGGTTGTTGTGTTGAGAATATTCAGGAGAATATTTGTCATTGTTCAAATGATAATAAACAAACATTTGCATAAAGCATATTTGTTCACTCATATGTTGATAAGAGTATTAAAAACTTGAAAAATATTCCTCTAAGGTACATTTAGAACAGATAAAAACCGTGCGATTAACTACGGACATCATGCGATTAAATATTTTAATCGACTGACAGCCCTAATTTATAGTGCTCTGAAAAGGATGAATGAGACGTGACTCTTCACCTTGAAGATGTCCAAGGAGCACTGGGTGAGGATGGTGCTGAAGGTGGAAGACAGGCCGAGCTCTACCAGACTCTCCAAATGAGTCATCTTCTCTGTTTCTGTTTCCTCACGGGTTTGTTCCAGAGTGCTGCTGTCTATCAGGGCAAAGCATCTGTGCGAATGACAGAAACAAATAAGTTAAAATGTTTGGATACTATTTCACTCGATATCTTAATAGAGAAAATACTTTTGGTTATGATGCCACATCTAAAAATCTACTCTGGTATAAGACTGTTTTTTTCTCGAGTCAGAAGCAGTCTTTCTTTTAAGTTAATATGTTTTTAAGAGCAGTACTTTTGCTGTATCAAATTCTTCTTTATTAAAAGTGGAGAATATTTAAATAATATTCAGATGACTGGAAATCTTGTTTGAGCCATTACATGAACAGTACTTTTATTGTGGATAGACCTAATAAATCTCTCCTATCTCAGCTGTGTTACTGACAGCCACTGCTGCTGATGCTGTTCCTCATCAAATCTCTACGTACCTGTCCATGAATAGAAGCACAAAGTCTTCAAACTCTGCTGAGGCTGAGCACATCTCCCTTTCCACCTGAAAGGCGATGACAAGAAAAAGATATGACAAGGTAAACCCAAGGACCATTCAACAACTTATCTTTTATTTAGGAGATGATATATAATTATGATTCACCTCTGTCAAGTCAGTTCTTTCATGTAGGGCGGACGAACAGTCCACCAAAGGCACAAGAGTCACAAAGGTAGCAATAAATTGGAATGTGATCTGTGGGGAGAGGAATGTTTGTATCAGACGGAATAACTTGTTCACAACCCTCCAAAAACATAGTGGGAGCGCTGTGAGAAGATAAAAGTGAATCACAATGGAGCTCACCATGCACTTGCTGAAATCATTTGGGTCAACGCCCGGCAAAGCCCTCATGAGCAGGGGCAGCATGTGAGTGGGCCCCTCAGGATAGCGCTGCCCACCTGACACTAGGCTCCGTGCCACTCCAATCATGCAGCTCAGAGTGGCCGTCAGCTGGTGGGGCTCTGTGAGAGTCTCCAGAGCCGGGTATGTTCTGTGGGAGAGACGGAGAACAGTTAGCCCTTTGTGTTCCTCTCCAAAAGCGGCCTCGTCTTTTATCTAGAGCGGAAAACCGCGCTCTAAATTCTGAAGAAGCAGAACTTGGGTCAAAGATGGATCATTGAAAGTCTGTCGTTTTCATAAAAGACTTACCTCTCAAGCACGGGGGGGATAACCAGCTCAGGCCTCATCAGAGCGAGGTTCTGCAGGGCCTGGGCTGCATCCATGCTGCCCGTCTTGCTGAACATGGCCAGCAGCACCGGCTGCATCATGCTCTCCACAAAGGCTGTGATATCCTCCTCTGTGAGCTTGTGGCTGTCTGGGACTGGTGTCAGCCATGTGGGCTTCCTGTAGCGCTCTCTGTGCAGCCGCCGCACCATGCTGGCTGGGAGACGCTGGAGCAGCCTCATGAGTTTCATCTGGACATGAGGACAGAGGGAGGGATAGATAAATACATGAGAAAGCAGTGAGGCCAACACACAGGTGGAAAGTGGACATCCTTGTAGTGGACACATGGAGAATTGGATGGTGTATTGAGCATACTGGACACACAGAAACAAAATGAGACACTGTGGATATATTATCTATGTGTCCTGTATGCATAAGATAAGATAGTACTCTATTGAATGGACAATTATAGAATAATTTTAGTACAGTCAAATCACTTTGAAAATTCATTCTGCAAAATATAATATCACTTTGTTACACAGAGACAAAATAGTTAGAATAAACACTTATCTGTTTTAGCTTTGCCCTGGCCAATACAAAATAATCTCTTCATCTCCAATTTTTGTATGCAACGATTGGTTTGTCTTATTGAGAGCTAGTGTACTTGTGGTAGGATTGTTGCTGTTCTGAGTTTGTATTTATTGCATTTATTGAAAGTCACTTTTGATGAAACCGTTAGCTAGATGAAGTTATAACTTTCACTTTTCCTTTAGTGAATAGCTAAGCTAATTCTCTGAACGATACAACCTCGACTTTCAAAGTACTTTTTCCTCTTAGCTGTGGTTTCATTTCATGTTGACAGTTGCGCAATCAACTAAGTGAATGACCCTCTCGCGTGTTTCCAAGCAACAGCCAAATATATGGACAAACACAGGCCCCTGCCAAAAATAAAGGTTTGTGTACGAAGACACGGTGGTGCTTCGAATCTTGTATCGGTGGATGGTCATAACAGAAAGGCATTTGGCCCTGCTCCCGGTGACCTTTAATAGCATTGTAGGCCTCTCACTTGCAAGTTATTTCAGAAGTTGATACAGAGAATCAGGAAACTTGATTGTGTTGCCACTGAGCGCTTTGGTATGCTGTGTTAACTTCACTTTGGACAAGCCAAGTGAGTGATTTATCTAAACTCCCTGGTAACAGTCATGCATATGTAGGTTGTTTATCATTATTCTCTTATATTTTTTTCTTTTCGATGTACGCTACTGCTATATTTTTTGTATTTATCACAGAAAAGTACACGATCTGCTGACCCCATAGAGTCACTAACAAGTTATTAATGCAGATTTGTCCATTTTTTTTACCTGATGCCCAACAACACAGCTGTGAAACAGTCAACATCCCTTGTAGTTTATAATTCCACAGTCGTCCAAAAGAAGTATGAAGTGACTCACCAACCAGCGGCCATGGTTTGACGGGTGGAAGAAGGATGTAATACTGTTGAAAAGGCCACTGAGCTGTTCCTGAGCCTGCTTGCTGGGTCCTCCCTGAAATGAACACAGTAAGGGTCAATCTAGCAATACACTTTACATTAACAGTGACTTTCTTAACAAACACATCATGTATGAACAGCAAACTAACCAGGAGCGATGAGACCCAAAGCACCACATGGCCGATTTCGTAGGCATTGGTGACATATCGTGCTACCATCATCTGACTGGTGCCCACAGGGAGATTCAAACTCCTCAAGATTCTTGTGAAAATCTGAAATGTGAAAAGCAAAAGCAATAAGGGTCTAATAATTATTTTCCTTGGAACAAAAAGTCCTTAACATATATTTGGAATTAACAGGTCATGAGATAAATAACTCATACTAGTGATGTCAAAATTCATGAATCAAAACAATCCCTCAGTCGAAACAGGCATGATGCAAGTCACTTCCCTTCAGTAAGCAACAGCAACAAGGACACTTGATAGGTTGCTTATATGAAATACACACCATGTGCCCAAATCATAAAGGTCAGACAACACATTCAATTTCTAAAACAAGCAAGTACTACATTGAGTAATGGGTGATTGCATAAAAAGAAAAAGGAACAAACCTTCGGGATGTAAGGGTCCCAATCAATGTAGCCGATGTTGTCATTGGACAAGCGAGCAAAGAGATTGACCAGATGCTGCAGAGATGAAGGAAAACATGTTCAACTGGGAAGATAGAAATACTGACTATTGCACATTAAAATGTCTTTCAGACAAATCATCTACTCACCATTTCCCAGCTTGGAAGATTTTGCACAGACAACCATAAAGCTATGAACTCATCGAACCACAACCTGTCGGACAAACAAATGGTTACAAGAGTAGAAGAAAACCCTACAAAGTATGAACATGTGACATTTAACAGATAGGTCAGTGAAAGTAAAGGATGGGGGAAGATTGGCTGGTCATTTTCATATAAAAGCCTCTAACAATGCAGTTTGTCATTAACACTCTTCTCTGGCTAGGTAAACAGGTACACCCGTCTACAATAAGTTTGGGTAGCACATTATTTGATGGGTTAATATGTTGGATATGAATCCCATGACATGTCATTTGGCATAACAGGTTAGAAGTTCAGGTTTTTACTTATAAGTAACACAAACCCATGTTGTCAAAAGGATCATAACAGCCACTCCGTTGAAACTAAAGCATGAAGCAAGTCATTTCCAATCGGTGACCAAGAAAAGATCATCAAGGAAACGTGATAGTTTGTTTCTCTGACAAGCAGCATTGGCAATGAAATACACACCATAGCCAGGAGGTACTGTACGTACACTTGTGTACAACAAGTTAGGGCAGTGCTTTTCTGATGGGTTCATCATTCGGAAAAGGTTTCAATCTAAAGACCTATATAATTTGGTATTGGATGTTTAGGATTATCAGGAATATAATACGGATAGTATTCTTTTGGTAAAGTTACAATGATCTTTAAATTTAAGATAATTTAGAAAAAAATGTTGTAGGGCTGTCCCGAATACCATTTTTCGGGCTCCGGATATTCGGTAGTAATCAGCAGCGAATTTTCGAATATTCCTGTCAACAGCTGAAATACTGAAATACACGCGTTGAAGCGGTTCGCTTCAACGCGTGTATTTCAGTTTATTCAGGGCATTCATTTTGTTATTCTACACAGTATTGTTGTTTTATGTATGTAACCCAATTTGTGTTCTTTGAAATTGAAAAGGATATTGCATTGTGTGTGTTACTTTCGTTGCAGTTGTATATGTCTTAAGTGTAATTTGGCTTGGCTTCCTATTTTGTATGGACATGCTTTTATTTTGAAGGAGAGTTATCGCTGTTGACAGGAAGTTGTTGTTGCTATGGGATTAACGGAGAAAAAGTAATATCTACATATAAAGATGGAGAAATTAAATGATAACGTTTATAGTTAAGTGTTAGCACCCCCCGAAGAGGCACAAACTATTACGTTGATATTGGAGCTTTCAAAACATTCAATTTGGCAGCCGCAGTGCAAAGCGCCTGCCAAAAAAAAGGAAAAAGGAAAAAAAACGAATATCCGAATAACGAAATTGAAACCCGAATGGTACTCCAACGAACGAATATTCGGGTACAGCCCTAGAATGTTGTCAGTGCCCGCTAAAATGTGTCTATTGGCTGCCCAGGCATAAACGTTTGACAAAATATAGGAAATAAATATTCAAAAAACAAAATAATGATGAATGAAAATTGACTAAATCATAGTTACATCTACAGAAAACTTCAGAGAAAATTGTAAGAAAGTTATGGATACGGAACATATAGTAGAAGCTAGTACTTTCCTGTCATCCAGATACACCTACACTTTTGAAGGCATACCAGATGCTACTAACAATTGTTATTAATTCATTTCCATGCTTACAGAGCCCACTTATGGGGCCAGCATTCCTAAGGCCAACTGCTGCTCATCCCAAAGGAGTTCTATTGGGTTGAGATCTGAGAAGCAGACTACTGACACTGTCATAATCCTGGAAAAATCTTATGACCCATTTCCACAGATTGGAACAGCTGATGGTCAATTGACAAGGTGCAGCCGTTCCTTTGTTTGGTTGCCAATGAAAGGATCCAGCTAAATTGTTAAAAGCTGATAAGTGCTAACTTTCAAAGCTAAGCTACTCGCTATACGATCTTTTTAGACGGAGAAATCTTGGATCTCCACATGTCGGAAACAATGAGAGGTTTCTTACTTGAACCCCTTGCAGTGCAGCTCTGGAGGCAGAGTCGTGGGTAGAAAGAGTTCAAAGTAGCTGATGGCTTTTAGCATTGTGACATCAAAGGGACAGAGGAGTGGTCTCCATTCATCCAGCATCTCCTGAGAAGCAGACTCCGGAAAGTATCTGTATAAACAGAGAGAGAATAGCAATTAGACAACAATCCCAACAAGCAGAGCATTTTAAGGAGTGCTACAAAAACATCACACACATCAGATTAATCTATGATGATGACTGGATTTTACTATTAAAAGAGAACCCTAAACTACATTTGTATAAAGTAACAAGAATAAGGACTTAGGTGATAGTTTCAATCCAATAAAAAACAATTGTCTTCACGTTATAAACAAGCAGTGACTGGATTTTCAATGTTCACAATCAGTCCAAAAGCGTGACATAACAAATCACACACCCAACATATTCTTAGCAGGTTCAATCTTGTGGGCTCAAAGTCCCACATGGGGATTTCCATGGTTTATTATGTGCTTGAGCACGTCAGGTCACATAGACTCCGTGCGGTTTCACATCCATGGGAGGCCTTGTAAAAAAATGGTCACTTCCAACCATTGCTACAACCCCCCGTCTCACCAATGATCAACAGCGTCACAGCAGCTGACCACAACTCCTCACAGTGACAGGAAACTCTCACACAAGACAGAATTAGAGATGATAGGATTATCTGCCTAAGTACAAACTGAGGGATGAGTCCGAGGAGTCTCCTAAGATACCTGCAGGGGCGCTACTAGAGGGAAAACAATCAGGTAGCTGCTGGTGGCAGGAAAGCTTTGGAATTATGAACTCATTGAACTCTTCCTTATCCGCAGCAGCATCCACATATCATTAAATGAGGGTACTTCTCGGCTAGAACAAGATAACTATTTTTTATACATCCCTCTTTCTATTATTTAATGTCTTTTTAACTTACTAAATTCAATATTGATTTAGACTAATATACCGCCAATGTTTTCCTGCACATACCCCAAAGGAGCCAAAATGCAAATAGAAGAGACAGTAAGACCAGTACTTACGGTCTGCAGCTTTTCACAAGTGTTTTCAGCACGTTTTCCACAGAGCTGTAAAAAACAGAATGACAGAGGAATGTTATGGCATGTCAAATCCACCCCCCCAGAAACAGTGATGTTAAACAATCTCCACACCAATGCAACTTGACTTTGATTGCATGCACACAGAAACTTCTTCACACGCCTGAGTGGTGTACAGTGAACGAGGAAACCCTAGGATCTGGTGTGAAGTGAGAAAATCGTAATAAAAAGTCATTATTATCAGACTGTAATCAATTCACGGATAATAAAGTGCCAATTGTTGTTTCCTGTTGATCTTCCTGGATGGCCTCATGCCAATATATGGATTCATAATTCAATTAATGTTCATTCATAACACAAATATTTCAATTCGATCACAACTCGAACAATTTCTCAGAGGTGGTTCTGGATTAATGACTAATTATAAAATGTCTTGCACATCACAAACGCCTGACATGATTATCTTCACAACGTCACATAAAGCTCCTGACCGATATAACCACAGCTTTTGAGCTCCCAGCCCACAATCCCACCGATCTGCTTGCATGCAAGCTCAAGCCATGCCTTGTTGGAAATGCCCGGCCAATTCCACTCCAACAACTGGTCACTTATTTTCAAAATATTTACAGTCTTCTTGTAGATGTCATCCTCTACATTTAACATTCTAACAAAACTTGAATTATAGGTGACACTCAAGCAGCTGACACTATTTAAGTGCATGACTATAGCTCAAATGTTTAGCAGTGTAAGCCTGAAACACACCAGCCACAGACCAAGTACCAACTCATGCACTGCAAATCCATTAGCAAGAACTAGTCAAACCGAGTGTCCCATTACAAGATGCTCAGACACTCAGAGGCCGAAGGGAGCACAGACTACACTATGTGACCTTTGTATCCGAGTTTAAGTGAACTCTCTCGTTCCCCCCAAAGCATTCCAGGAGAGGAGGAACGTGCTGAAAATGCTGCGTCGTACTGAAGGTATGGCTAAGTAGGGAAAACAGCAAAACTAAACAAAAAACATATAAAGTAATACTAATCCCACTGTTAAGCAGCATATAGAGCAATTCATGTTGCATATAATAAAAAGGTTTACTTCCTAATTTTTTTTTTATATTGTTACTTTATTGCTGCCACATAACCCACTATAGATAGAAATAAACTACACTGTTGTCTCATTTTGGATATGGGGGATAGGAGAAGAGTAAAAAAATGTGTTAGCTGCAGTGCGACAGTCTCCAATTTGAGTGAAATGTTAACATTGCTTAAGTCTTGACTTTTCCTCTATCACAATGTGGGGTGTCCAGTTTTGGTTTTCACATGCAATGTATACAAAAATAATAAAAACAAAAACAAGTGCCTCCAAAGATGAATTCAAAGTAAAAACACAAAGAGAAGTATTTTCCTTACCACCTCTGAACCAATTTTATCATTAAGTGTTTAGAGGATGAACGAGGCCTTGGAGAACTGAATGTGAAAGGAGACAAAGGCATAAAGAACACATTCAGCACACAACAAAGTGCCAATAACTGAAAAATATGAACATACTTTGCATCACAATTTATTATGCCATTTCAGAGAATCAGTTTTGTGTGTGTTAGTAGAGTTTTGAAAGAGTTGAGCTGGAAATGAGCCAAAGTAGCCTGCTTTCATCAGCTGTCAAGTAAGAGTGACGCTTTAAAGAAAAGGGTCAATGTTCCCATAGCACCATAAAAGAGCACCTCGCACTGCTTGCTACATCATAAGGCGCTTTCACACTGCGGTACTTTTCCCACAAAGGTTCATGTGAACTTAGTTCATGTGAACTCTTTTATCGCGTTCACACCAAAAAGAGCCGGTACTAAAATTAGTTCATGTGAACCTTTTTACCCCCTCGAAAGTCCCTGCTAGAGAGCAGGGACTTTCGAGCGGCTCTTTTGTGAGAAAAGAGCTATATTTCTGATTGGCTGGAAGGATTGCAAACCACGCCCCGCAAAACTCCCAAAAAGTTTTGTGAAGCCGCCATTTTATTATCCTCGCATTAGCATTAGCATTAGCCCAGCGTAGAAACGCAGAGAGACTAACTTATGGCAACACAAAATAAAACATGGGAGCGGTGGAGATGAGGAGGTGTCGGCGTTCTGGCGATTTACTCGGAAGGCTTCAGTAGAAGCTGCTGGGACTCCCAGCAGCTTCTACTGAAGCCAGTCCCTAACTCCGGGGACTTCCGGCCGGGGACTCCGGGTGGCAGTATACGCCGTGAAGTGGTTTGCGGCCTGCCAGTAAACCCAAAGCAGAAGAAGAACAAGTGACGTCAGTGGCTTCATTTGCCTAATCCACCCCCAGGGACTTTTTACAGTGTGAACGCGATCTGTACTTAGTTCATGCGAACTAAATAGTTCACATTAACTAAGTTCACATGCACTTTTGTGGGAAAAGTACCGCAGTGTGAAAGCGCCTATAGGGACTTTATAAGGGTGTTGCATAGAATAAATCGACAACTACTTAGAACTGCTTTCTAAAACTGTGTAAGGGTCATAGTGGACAGTGTTATGTGGCGCACAAAATGTTCCTTTTGTTTTCCAAGAACTGGTCCAATCTTGCAAACACAATAAGATTTTAGTAGAACTACTGAAACCCATAAGCTAAGAAGAATGTTCAGATTTCCCTTGATATATAATAGTATCCATGTCTCTAAATGATTACAATATTCTGTGTGTACTTTAGAGTTGTGAGAGCACCTAATTAACAAAGTGACCAATGTCAAACATTGATTAGACTTCCATGTTATATATACACTTATTAATACAATATCAAAGTCTTTGATTATAGATTAAATATGTGGAATTAAAAAAAAGGCATTTAAAAAAAGGGATGGGCCTTTGTGTGATACTCTAAGAACATCAGGGAAATGGTCATTTAAGTATTGATTAGTGCAAGCCAATAGAGGTATTGCCTGGTAATGATCAGTTCCAAGAGAAAATAAATCTTACCTCCAAGAACATTTAATATTCAGTGACATCAGTCTCAGTTGTCAACATTAGCTTTTCCAACACCAGAAATTCTGTCACTTGATATCTTCTGTTTTCCATGATGGGAATGCATGCCAAAATGATTGTCACATTTTTCAACAATATATGGATTAAATAATTACTTCACTATCAACAGCCTAAACAAATTATTAGGAGGGGGGGGGCGCATTCTAGAAATCCTGCTCGTGATTGATGACTAAAGTGTCATTAAAACAAAGGTCTTGTTAATATCCAAATGTGGCAAATAAACGTATAGTTTCCTACACATCCACCTTCCGTGAACATTTGAAATACAGTGAACACACCAGCCTCACCAAAGGTCCATTGCATTTCCTCAATTATTTGATTTAGCATGAAGCAACAACATATCAACAGCAGCAGTGAATAACTGAGGGCCTACTTGGGGAACCAGTTGAGACCCAGATGCTCTGTCTTGGAGAAGAGAATCCTGTCGTACAGCTCATACAGCGGTCTCCAGTTCAACTCAAGGTCCTCCCGTGACAGTAGCTCTCTTTTCCTGCAAGATAAATCAGACATGCAGATAGATGAGAATAACACAAAGAGCCTAGGTTATCATACAACATCACTTTCACAAAATTGATATCAATGGTGAGGTTGCAGGGTTTTTAGCATTTAACTTAGCGCTCATAGTAAAGCTCTCACAGAAAGTGTACACGTTTTTGAGTAGAACAGTTGGGGCACAGTCTTACTTGAGGAGGTTGATAAGAAGCCGAGCAAGGCCCTGCATCATGCTGATCTCCAGTTTGGGGATCGTCACTAGCTCGTAGAGCAACTTGATGAACAGCACATGGTCTTCTTTGCTGAACTTCCGCCCATACAGTCTCATATACCTAAATAAAAGATACATATTTAGGGATAATTGCTCCAGTTTGAACATGCATACGTTTTCAGTGCCCCTGTGAGTAGCACGAACATTAATGTTCCCTTGTGTGTAAAAACATAAGTAGAATAAACAAGAGCAGGTATTTAAACACAACTGAAGCTGCATAAGCTATGTTGAGACCTTTAAAAATGACTAATACATATTTCCATCACTATTAAAATGCTAAAAAACTAGGGAACAGAATCTGGGTCAACTCAACAGTAAACTTTCCGTCTCTGAGCTGGCAGTGACTCACATTTGCACAGAGCATTGCACCAGCACTGGGGACTGAAAAGGATTAAAGACAGCACAGCAACCAAACACATTAAACAACAGTCTATTTATGTACTGTACTATGCACAATATTTTATCTTCATCTTTATTATTAAATAAATACCTATTAGATCAATTCAAAAAGGTTGTAACACTATGTTGGGATAAGTTGTGTTTCCTGAAGTAAGAATGAACAGTATGCCATGACTCATCTGTTTAGCATTTAGCATGTGAACAAATAACAGATGATGATGATCTCAACATTACACTGAATATCAAAACATGTGTTGTTTGAAGCAACTTCACAGGAAGTGAATGAATCCATAACATTAAAACGTGTTCTTTATATTTGAGATTTTACATTTCCCCTCTGTGGGACCCATAAAGGTATCTGATTCTAAGATATTTTTTAAGTTGTCTCCTGACCTTAAGAATTTAAAAAAATGTCAGTCATAACACAAGCACAACTTTAATAACAATAAGGTACATTATGCTATACTGTCTGTATCTGTTTAGTGTAAGTTCTTTGAAATGTACTTTACTGTATGTCTGTATTGTATATCTATGTGCAGGATCACAGGAAGATCAGACTAGACACACCCATGTGCTTCTAATGGGAATCCTTAAATAAACAACAAACAATAAACAACAATATAGTGCCTGGGTCAGGTAGTGTATTTCTCAAGGTTTCCCCCTAATTATGAAGCCCAGATCGTTTCTTTAAACAATGGGCAGTTTGTAGTTTCAAGGCACAACATAACACGTTATCGAACATCTAGAGTTAACCCATAAACAACACATTATGTTTACAGTTCGTGACTTTGACCAGAATATAGTTGCAACAGGAACAAACTGTTAGGCAAGCAACACTTCAATGTCAAATACACATGTACACAGAGATATGTTGCACAATATGTTATCCGGCTCAAGATCAGAAGTTTTTTAAAATGTGTTACAAATACAACATTTAAGTGAGGGTACCAAAGATGAACGTTAGCTACTGTACTGCTACTTACGTGGAGAGTTTCCTTGTCCAAAACAGCACACCGGGCCATATCTCTCTGAGCTGTACAGCTCGGCACAAGTTTCCTTTTATTTTACTCAAAATATCATTTGATTCATCATCTAGCTTTTCTGCATAGGGCAGAAGTTTGTTGTATACGATGTCCTTTTGAGGAACAAACCCCAATGTGTCAGACTGCGCCTTTTTCATATCACAAATTCCAACCGGCTAGCTTCACTATGCTAGCGAATTTTACTGTGTCTAAGTTCCTTCGGCTTCTCCGTGCACGTTTTTAATGCTACTTGGCTAATACGACGGCTAGCAATTTCCCTGCTAGCTACCTCTTAACGGTGAATCGTTAGGATTGTTATGGAGTGAATAAGTTGTGAGATTCACAAGTTGATGACACACTAGCTAGTCATCTAGCTAAAGTTAAGTTAGCTTCCTTATTAACAATAACATTAACAACGTCATATTTAAAAATATGAAGGCCAACGAAAGTCACGAGTTAGTCCAAATAATGCGTTGGCACTCGAATTCCTCTTTTTCGGTCAACGTAATCCTAAAACCTGACAACCAGCTAACGGTATAGCTAAAGTTAGCTCTCTACTACAAAAGCACAGTCATATCCCAAGGACTGTGAACGTCGACTGATTCATCCAACTACGGCAAAGCAGAGGGCAGACGACACCCGGCTACAAGCTACATAACCACCCGTCATATCCGCTAGCTACTGCTAAGAACTACACTTCCCAGCATTCCCCTCTCCATTCATGCTTTTTATAACTGCTTATCCTTTAGCCACTCAAACAGGATGACATGAAATCCACTTAAGACCTAGTGTCCTCTGGTGTATTTCCTACAGCCACTGCAGTAGCATTTATTTACTGTTCGTATGCCGTATTAAGACAGTTATAAGCTCATGTAGGACATTTTTATTATTATTATTATATTTATGAATTATGCAAGACAGTTTAGCAGTATTAGGTATATGATGAGGTTTCTGATTGGACTTCTGCTCCAATGAGGTCCATGACCTCCACAAATAGTTATGAGTTTAGCACATTTTGGCATTTTTTTACATATTCAACTGAAATGCATTTTTTTGTTTTGATAATACGTTTATTTTTTAAATAGTGACAAACCAAAGTAAATGTAGACACCCCAGAGTTAGGCAGGCAATGGCTGCAACTCTATTCTTTTTATATATTATTTTTGCACAATTGTGATTGAAGCAGGCTTATGCACTTATATTAACAGGCTTATTCATGGAACAGCATACTTTTAACATTTCAGTATTGTTTAATGACTTGAAAATCACATTCATTTATAAATAAACCTAAAATTACAATAAAAAAAAAAGAAGAAGTCCAATGTGGAACTTGCCAATGTTTAGTAGCCTACCTACATCTTGTGAATATATAGAACATATGCGAACAAAAATGCTGATAATACTAATGTTCATATTTATTTATTTCCTTACAGTCCACTGATTCAACGATTTGTAGTTCTTGCAATCTCCTGAGAAGTAACAGAGGGCACATGAGCACATGCAGCGTTGAGTCCAGTAGAAGTGGTTGCCACTCTGTTCCCCCCTTCAACCAAACTCATTCAGAAGGGCTTGGCAGCACAGGGTTAGGAAACAGCACCTGTTATTGACTGCCACTACATCAGTGTCTGCTGTATGTATGATGACCCTCTTCCTCTTGTTCTAAACTGCACTCATGACAGAGAAACACATGTTTGTTAACTTCCATTTGCAATACTAGGGATGTGTTTTCTAGTTGCCTGGGCCAAGTTTGTAGACAAACCTGATTTGTAGTTCAGATGCTTCCAGGATTTAGCATCTGAACAGCAAATACGAGAATGCAGTTCCTGAAGAGATTGCTAGTGGGAATGCTTTATGCTGAAAAGCTGACACTGAATTGCTATTCTGAAATGTAATGTGTAAGAAGAAAGTGAAGAATTTAGATCGAAATGATACATGAACACTGGGGGCTTGAATGTGTGATAAGAAAAGAAAAGAAAGTAAAAAAGCTTGGAAAAGCAGCAGAATATTTGAACTGCAAACTATTGAACTAACTTGATGACGAATGATCTGTTGCCATGGCAACGGTATTTGATGACACCCCATAATACGCTTAGATGTTTTGATGGCTGCATCGTTACCAAACCTGTGACGTTTTGGGCCGTTTGGAGCATTTTCACTGAAGTTATGAGGAAACCTGTGTCATAGCGAGCATTGTGCTGCCATGGCAATGGCATTTGAAGACATTTAAAAACTGTCACGTAGATGTCTTCACGGCTGGACTGTTAGCACATGTGAAATTTGAGCACTTTTTGACCATTTTCATAGGAGTTATAGCAATATCGTGTTTTACGGCGAGGGATGTGATGCCATGGCAACAGCTTTTGAGGAAAACTCACTAATGGCACATAGACATGTTGAGGGATGGACCATTAACTGTCATCTGAAGTCTGGTGGTGTTTTGACTATTTTCATATCAGTTACAACAACATCGTGTTTTTTGGCGAGGGATGTGTTTCCATGGAAACAGCCTATGATGAGATCTCAGATTTGGCGTAGAGCTGTTGAGGCATGGACCGGTGATATACAAGCGAAGTTTGGGGACGATCGGACCGTGTCCATTGGAGTTACAGCGACATCGTGTTTCATGGTGAGGGATGCGTTTCCATGGAAACGGCATATGATGACACCCCATAATTGCATAGAGCTGTTGAGGGCCGGACCATTAACCATTATCTGAAGTCTGGTGCTGTTTTAGACCATTTGCATAGGTATCACAACAACATCGTATTTTATGGCGAGGGATGCGTTTCCATGGAAACGGCATATGATGACACCCCATAATTGACGTATAGCTGTTGAGGGCCGGACCATTAACCATTATCTGAAGTCTGGTGCTGTTTTAGACCATTTGCATAGGTATCACAACAACATCGTATTTTATGGCGAGGGATGCGTTTCCATGGAAACGGCATATGATGACACCCCATAATTGACGTAGAGCTGTTGAGGGCCGGACCATTAACCATTATCTGAAGTCTGCTGCTCTGAGCATGTCAGTTGGAGTTATGACATCATCGTGTTCCATGACACAGGTGTTTATATTTGAGCTAACGATGTGTCCAGAGATCCAAGGTTTCCATGGTGATGTAATCAGTGAGAGGAGAGCATTTTCATTGTTCTGAATGAGATAAACCTCTTACATGTGAACGTTTTGTTGCAGAACCGTAACAGATATCGGTGACATTTCAAAGCGTGAAGCATGTCAAGGAACTTGAGCATCTGAAGTGCACTTTTTGTGTACTTTCAGGTTAATAATGTGGCCTTTTTGGCAGATTAACTAAAGGTGTGCGGCTGCTGTGGTGGGGAAAGATGAGGCTGAACTTACAATGGGGTTTAATGGAGACATGTTGAACGTTTTTGTCACTTCATGCCCTCAAGAGGCCTTTTGTTTAATTATTTTTGCTTAATTTCTTTTTCTTTTCAAGCTACAAGATGTTTTCCTACGTTTCTCATGAAAAATTATGTCTCAGGAATGTAGGGTTTGGGAATTATGGCAGGTTTAAAAGAAAGTATGAAGGCAAAATGAAATCTGTCCTCCACTCTAGCTGTGACATCACGCACTCTAAAATCTGAAGAAGGCCTCTTTACCAAGGTCTGAACAATGTTTAATATCTCTAAAAGTATGAATCAGATTTAAAAGTTGTGTTACACGAATAATATCAGAAAGATGTGTAACACTTTAAAGTTGGAATGAGGTTTCTGAGTGAAAGTATGAAGGAGCAGTTAGCAGTTGAAGAAGGAGCAGTTAGCAGTTGAAGTTGCATGAAGATTGTTGAAGTCTGAAGAGTTTCTCCATTGACTTCCATGTTAAAAATGTGATGAATTATGGGATGTATCTCTGGAATTATGACTATAAGTTATGAATGATAAAAGTAATAGCCATCGATTCCCGACCGAGCTGAACGTTTTGATGTTCGAACGGAGTTTCTGCGATGTTCAATGTGGGAGAAGAAGAGGCGCAAAATAACCCGGCGGAATAATAAATAATTTTGTGCGGAGCATAACAGATAGTTAGAATGCTGTGTCAGCATTCCCACTAAATAATGAGGACCACAGCATCTGCTATGGTGATGCTGGAGATCTAGTCTCAACCTGTTAGATACAGCTTAATCTGACTTTGCTCCCAGTCTTATTTTGCCTCCCTTGTACAAAGATGGAGGAGTCTTTCACAATACCTTCACATGTTTGACATTAAAGACGTGAGAAGAGATTACAATCATTCTTCATTGCTGAAAGTTGCATCAGTGAAGCATATGAGCCCTCTCCCTTGTCTAGTCATAAGATCCAATGGAATATTTCCCAGCTGCTGAGCTTGGAGGGGGCTCTGCCAATTTTGCATATCCCTTTCTGACGAGTGTGTTGGTTAATCTGGCTAGGCGTTGCAACACTTCCCAGCTTTCATTTTGACAAAGAACATAAAGCTCCAAGTTAGTTATAGCAGGTAGCCTACTTTGGGTTACTTGAGAATTCATTTATTGATCTACAAAATTAAACACCTCAACATATTGAGGAAATTACCCCAGCACCAAGAGAGGAAGGAGAATACTGTCAGACATTATATGTTGTATGTGCTCCATTTGCAACCACCACCAAACAAGACAGTTTCCAAGGAAAAGGAAGAATGGGCTGGTTTAACCTATTCAGTGTGGGGATTTCCAAAAGTAAAACATGTATTGTTGTTTTTAATCTCATCCAGTCATTGATTTGCAAGTTGTGATTTAATTAATTAGAAGTATACAATTTTTTTTATTTGTATATTGTGTTAAAATATAGCATACTACTTTACAACATGTCTTGAAGCAGGGCCTGTCAGTACTTCCTAAGACTAAAGGTGAGCAGTGATCGCCATCTTGTGGTCAAACGAAGAGGTACAAAAAGGAAGCAACCATGAATGTGTTAAAAAATATATATTTAAAGAAGATATATTTAATGGTAACGCACAGTAACGTGTAGCGTTAAAACACGGAAGCGTGGACGTTACATATTTAAGGTATAAAACATGATTGGCAATGCACATTTGAATTACTTATGTTGTTTTAACTTGTGTGAATCGTTTATTTGTAGGCGTAGGCTGCTGTTAACGGAAGTTGATGACGTGTCGGTGTCCTAGCAACCTGCGAAACATGTCCACCTACAACTTTTGTGTAGAATAAACTACATCTCTTCCTTAAACATTAACTAACTTTAATGTCACTGTTGGTGAAGGAAAAGTACCTCTATTACGGCATGACTCCTCGCTTACTTTTAACGGGAATTAATTAACGTTGTCTGCTGGCGCGGCACTCCACCAGAGTTTCCTGACAGGAGCAAAGATGGTGACTGAAATGCTCAGTTTACCTTGTGATAGACTTCTGTCACACCGACAGCTAGCATGTTGTCACACTTATTGTGGTATACCACTGGAGGGCAAGAACATGTTAATTTACAGTAACATGGATAAAGATAACAAGGTTTGTATTTATGTACACTTTTTAAGAATTAAATTGGCTAGGTAGCTAACGTTAGTTAACATGACTGCAAGTGCAAACCCCAGGATAGCTAGTTTATGTTTAAGTCCTCATGTGTAGGTGTATTTAAATAGGGTATGTTTTTTTAATATGAAATAGCCTGTTTTTCAACATTCTGTACATATAAAACACAATCATTTTGACAATTAAACAAAAGTTAATACAATGTCGGCCTGTCTAATTAAAACATTTGACTAAATTATATCTGACATGGATACATATTTTATATTGCTTTTTTTAAGATGGAAAATGACAAGATTGATCACCACAGAGCCACACATAACTTATTATACTACATTGCATATTTTACCAGAGTCTGTTTGTCCACAGCCCCTGCTGCTAACAGGCCACCATGGTGAGATCAGTGCCATGACCTTTGGGAAACTAAGTGGACCTGTTCTCCTTTGTTCTGCCTCTCCTGACTATATCATTGTCTGGGATATTGAACTGTGCCACAGGAGAACACAGGAGGGTGAGGAAATATTTATCTCTTGGTAGTGCAAAACATAGTTGTAGTTAACTACATATTTTTTCTCCCAACCCTCATTATATTGCCCTACCAGTTTAGTTCCCTAATTAGTTACAAGTCAACCCTGTGGCACAAATCATATGATATCATCTACTGTGAGTATGATCATTTTCCTGAGTGAAACTCTTAAGAAGCCTGCCATCTAGTGAAACATATCCAGATAGCCCACTGATGTCTACTATGGTCCTGTAGCCTAGGTAATTTGCTTTGCTTATAAACAGACTCATTTGTTTGCAGGTAAAGTTGCTGCTGGAACAGTTATTGGGACTTTACTGGGAGAAGTCGTCCATCTTTCATTCTGTTTCTCTGATGAACGAGTGGCTGCATGCTCGGGATCAACTTTGTATATTCTCAGCTCAAAGGTACAAAATAATGTTACTTTTCAGTATTCCTTTGTGCACATAAATCCTCACTGAATCTATATGGCCTATGGGTTTGTTCCATATGTTACTTTCTATTTCTCACATGGATTACAAATACTGCTCTTTCTTTTACTTCTCTATGTTATACGTCACACACATCTAAAATATGTGTATTGTTTATTTGCTGTAGCCATCACTCTAATCAAAATTGTTATTGTTATTTTTCACATCAGAGACATGAAGTGATTTTTACCTTTACCAACCACCTGGGACCGTTGACGTCAGCAGAGTTCTGTCCCTGGAATAAAAACATTCTTGTCACAACTTCAGAGGATCGCACTTTTAAGGTACTGCAAAAATATTTACTAATGATAGTAAGTAAGTAACATAATAAATATCCCACTTGTACATTCATTTATATCAACTGTTACACAAACTGTAATAGTTATTAATAGAAAGTGTCTCTTTGCAGGTGTTGGATTTAAAAACTGAAGCTGTTTGCTACCAGTCTTTTGTGCTTTCAGGTATGATATTTACTCTTAAAAATCTTGTAAAAAAACGTACACACCTTTATTCACTTTGTACAGTAAAGGTGGTTTTATCGCATATATTAGTGGGATCTATTTAAAATCAGGAATTGTTATTATATATCCATATAATAAATATCAAATTATAGGTGTCAAAGCTAATCATTAAGCATTTAACTATTTATGTTTAATGGCATGCTACAGTAAGTATAGTGGTAGCTGTAGAGAAGTCAGAACAATGCTTTGTTATTAATAATATAATATTTACTACCAACCTACCCAAAGCAAATTCTTCAATTCTTAAGGCTCTCCCCTACTCAGTGTTTTCTTCTTGGAGGAGAACAGGCACCTTATCACAGGCTCAACTGATGGACAGGTGAGTGACTGAGGCACACAGTCCTTATCAGCTCACACTCACTATCTGACTCAGTCTGTGCTATCAGATGACGACATTCCACTAGCTGCGTAACAAACCTGTTCCTGTTTGGTTTAGCTGTGGTGCTTTTCTATCACCGATGACCACAAGTGTCACCTGGTGTCCAAAATGGACCTTCAGAAGATGGAAAAAAGACATCTACAGCACCAAGGCACTGTCAGCGACCCAGCAGGTGATGTTACTGATCTATCAGAAAAACAATGATGGAGAATATCTTGTACTGGCTTTGTGAGGAAATGTATTTTCATAAATCATTTCTTTATTTTCAGCTATATGACTATTTTACATATTTTGACTGTTTTTGATATTTTCTTCTAGGGTTCACAGAACAGTTAGCTGAAGATAAAGTGGATACTTCAAAACCTGTTCTCAAAATGGCTACATGCAGCTCATTAATTGATACCAATAATGAGCATAAAAAGTAAGTTAATCCTTTTATAGACAGTGCTAAATGTTAGGAGTTATATGATTGCTTGGTATGGTTTGACACAAGAGACTTCTGATGTTGTTGAGCTGGGGTAACTGCAACATTGATTAAATCCTTTAATGTTTTCCAAGTCCCAGAAGCAATTTCTTTGAATTTTGAGACCTAGATAAGTACTGACAAGAAGGATAGATGCATAGATAGATTTCATAGTTTCACAATAGAGGCCGATCTAACTCTCAAGTGCTATAAAATGATGAATAGTTTTGAAATGTGACTTTACCACAGGGAAGAGCTGCTTTGCTTCATTTGTGACAAGGAATCTTAATGTTGAAACAAGACTTGATACTGTCAACACTGTGGCCATCCTCAAGGGCTTAATTCTTATTTCCACTAGGTAAAAGTTGTAGCTGATCCAGGAAAATATTACACAGGCAATTCAAACACAGTTGTCATGAAAAAAACAACAAATAGCTACATTTTTCTTCCGGTAACACTGCATAGATTTCTGAAAAGCCTGCACCAAAATGCAACATCTTCACGGCTACTTGCGGCACGTGTCCACGCAGTCGCTTCAAACGTCACAGGAAACTTCACACATCACAGGAAACTTTGCAGGCTGTTAGCATAAACTGATTCAGGCTGTTAAAACATTTGATGTTATGACAGGAAGCAGGCACTTAAAATGCCCCAGCATAACTCTCTGTGTATTTTGTGGACCACTGGAAATGAAATGGACGTTGATTCCTTATTTTTCTAAGCAAAGCATATGATCTTGGAGCAATATCTTCATCATCTTAACTCAGGACCTCTAACAGACGCTCCAGTTCATCAACCGCACGATGTCTGTCTGCAACCACGGTTTTACTGGACTCCATTTGATGGGCTTTAACAAATAGGTCTTTCTTTGCTCAGGTGTATGATGGGTATGTTTGCAGCTGGAAAAGTTTCTGGTTTCACATCCAGTGGAAGCTGACTTTTCTACTGTTAAAATACAGTATTGGTGAATAAAAGTGCTATATAAATATGTTTCTGGGGCTTCAAAGTAGCTATTGTTTTTCTAAGACTTTTATAATACCAATGTAAGTATGTTAAAGTCAGTATATGTAGGATTTAAACATTAAGACTTTATGCCCCCCAGTAGAGAATAAAACATATTAAAAAAACATTGTGGCTAACAGCAGTAAACCTTAATCTACGAAGCTAACAAAACAATTTTTGTGCAATTATCACATAAACCTCCACACGCAATGGTCTCCATCCTGCACTGAAGCCCACGCTCAGCATGAATATAATGATGCACTAAAATATAAAATCTGTCCCACAATGTTATAGCCTCAGCATGAGTCTCAGTGCAGGAAGTGGATGAAAAGGATCCTTCAGACTCAGCTCGCAAACCTTTGCTCTGTGGCAGTATTTTCCATCTTTCTGGGTGTACATAGTTTAGACTACGCAAAGTCAATGGAAACTTGAATAAAAGCCGATAGTCCTATGGTGTGCATGCCATGCCCCTCCATCACATCAGTATGTTTTTCTTTAGTATGTGGTTACATTGTCTTTCCCCAAATGATCTGGAAAAAAGGGAAATCCTGTAACAGTGTTTCCATACTTTTCTGTGTGGGCCCCTGCAGGGACAACAGCTGGTTATGTATTGGAAGCTCCGACGGCCTGTATGTGGTGGAGCTGGCTACCTCAGAACTCCTAACAGCATTTTATTTCAAGGGTAGGCTGCTGGTGGTGAAAATTGCTACTGTACTCTGTAATTTGTTTAAGCACTAATGTTCAACCAGTGCACCATTACACTACAATAGGAGACATTGTATACAATTCTTTCTTTTGAGAAAGGTTTCAAACACCTAAGGGAATTCACTAACAACCCCACGAACGATTTGTCTAGATTACCCCATCTTGAGCATCTCAATGGCTGGGTCGTGGTCAATCTCTCCAGGCTGGAATGACTCTGTGAGTAATTACAGTAATATCTTTATGAAACCACATTGAGACATTGCGCTGTTATCCTTTCAACTGTAACAATAATTAAACTGTCCTTTAAAAGATGCTTGTACTAAGTAACCCTTATCAGATTTTTAGTCAGCCACCAATTGTGCAAGTTCTCTCACTTAAAAAGATGAGAGAGGCCTGTAATTTTCCTCATAGGTATACCTCAACTATGAGAGACAAAATGAGGGAAAAAAATCCAGAAAATCAACTCCCTCCAAAGATTTTCTATGGGGTTGAGATCTGGAGACTGGCTAGGCTACTCCAGGACCTTGAAATGCTTCTTACGAAGCCACTCCTTCGTTGCCCGGGCGGTGTGTTTGGGATCATTGTCATGCTGAAAGACCCAGCCACGTTTCATCTTCAATGCCCTTGCTGATGGAAGGAGGTTGTCACTCAAAATCTCACGATACATGGCCCCATTCATTCTTTCCTTTACACGGATCAGTCGTCCTGGTTCCTTTGCAGAAAAACAGCCCCAAAGCATGATGTTTCCACCCCCATGTTTCACAGTAGGTATGGTGTTCTTTGGATGCAACTCAGCATTCTTTCTCCTCCAAACACGTCTATTTGAGTTTTTACCAAAAAGTTCTATTTTGGTTTCATCTGACCATATGACTATCTCCCAATCCTCTTCTGGATCATCTAAATGCTCGCCAGCAAACTTCAGACGGGCCTGGACATGTACTGGCTTAAGCAGGGGGACACGTCTGGCACTGCAGGATTTGAGTCCCTGGCGGCGTAGTGTGTTACTGATGGTAGCCTTTGTTACTTTGGTCCCAGCTCTCTGCAGGTCATTGACTAGGTCCCCCCGTGTGGTTCTGGGATTTTTGCTCACCGTTCTTGTGATCATTTTGACCCCACGGGGTGAGATCTTGCGTGGAGCCCCAGATCGAGGGAGATTATCAGTGGTCTTGTATGTCTTCCATTTTCTAATAATTGCTCCCACAGTTGATTTCTTCACACCAATCTGCTTGAGGTTGTGGACAGGTGTCTTTTATACTGATATCGAGTTCAAACAAGTGCCATTAATACAGTTAACAAGTAGAGGACAGAGGAGGCTCTTAAAGAAGAAGTTACAGGTCTGTGAGAGCCAGAAATCTTGTTTGTTTGTAGGTGACCAAATACTTATTTTACCGAGGAATTTACCAATTAATTCATTAAAAATCCTACAATGTGATTTCCTGGATTCTTTCCCCCCATTCTGTCTCTCATAGTTGAAATGTGCCTAGGATGAAAATTACAGGCCTCTCTGATCTTTTTAAGATGGGTGAACTTGCACAATTGGTGGCTGACTAAATACTTTTTTGCCCCACTGTATGTGGAGTTTTTCGTTTTGATTGACTTTTGAAAAAAGTTTTGAGATGCTCCTCTTCTCATTCCTTACACTTTATTTCCACAATCCGTTCTTGAATAATGTGGAATATACTTTTTTGAAACAGGTATGGAGTGATGCTGTTTGTTACTAATTGATTTCTGAATTCCTTGTCACACAGATGGTGTTTTTAGTGAGCTCTATGTTCACTCCATGTGTGGCCCTGTTGGAGTTACGTCTGTGTGTCCTAAGGAGCACCTTGGCTTGTGGTGAACGCTTTTCGGTGTTCCCGAGGTAAGCTCGGAGTCAAAGGCAAATATTTGGTAATGCATTGGTATGTGACATATTTGATGCTAACGCCCCGGAGGACAAATTGTCCTTTTTGTATTGCTCTGAGCAACGAATCAGCTCTGTGAGTAAAACGTCAGTATCTTGTTTGGCACACCTATGACACAGTCTGGAAAAAGGGGCTGGAACCCAGGTTTTTTTTATGTTATACGATGCCAAATGCTAAATACTGTATCTCAGCCGCTTGTATTGCAAATTATTTTGTCAATTGTTTATTCATTGGCAATAGTAGATTGTATTAATTATTCATTCTACAAAGAGCCTAAGTAGAAATATGCTTTCCTTCGGATCAGGTTTAGTTCCAGCCTGGAACTGCTCTGCTCAGTGAGTTACTTCTACTACTACATTTAGTAAACATAAGCTTTTAAATCTGCATGGGTTTTAATAAAGCTGCTTAAATCCAAAAATATCATACTCATTACTCTCACAATAACATCGTGTAAAAAATGTCAACAAAATTAAATTGTCCTCTGGGGAAGGAATGAAATCCACACTGTACCTCCAAAAATCTAGCAGCACCAATAAAGACTTATCATTTCATTAACGTTATTTGTTTTTGTGCAAATATGCAATTTATCTGCCAAATAACAATTAGCAAAAACAGTGCAGTTGTAGACTGTGCTTTCTCTCAGACACTGGCCACCAGCAATAGAATATATATGTGTGGTCAATTAATTTTTTAATTGGCCTCATGCCTGTGACTCCTTGTGACTCTGACATTTCCACATTAACTTGGCATATTATAACTATTCTTGCCATCTGGTTTCTCATGAGTCAACAATATCAGGGTACTGAGAATTAGAAGGGCTAATAATCCACAACACTGGAAAATGCTATGCTCCTTCTTTTCCAGTAACTCTTTCCCCCCATTTCACCACCCTCCCTTGTTTTCAGCTCTCCTCCAGTGCTTGAATCTCCTCTGAGTGCCGAGTTTAAGAGGAAGGAGCCCGAGCATCCTAAAAAGAAAGGTCAGCATCTGAACACTCACTCCCTCTTACTCAAGCTCATGCACATCAAATAAACAGGAGCAACTGCTGTTTGATGACTGTGTTTTTAAAGTATGACCCATTTTATAGTTCACCCCATGTCTGGCTCGTTGTCTGTTTTGATTGGACACTTCTCTTAAATTGTACTTATTGTAGGTTTAGAAAGCCTGTGTGGCTATTACAAGAGCAACTGAGAACTCCTCATTATCTGTAAATATAGAGGATGGAAAATATGCCCTTCTTTGCATTGTGAGGATTGTTGATGTGGCATTCTTAAAAACATTCCCTTCTGTTATTATTTGCCACATAGGCAGTACTTAAAAACAGGGAGAGTATACCACATTTAGACTGACACATTCTCATTAATTAGCTCATGTACGGTTGCTTCTTGCAGTCGTGGATTCCGAGGTAAAGTGAGCCTATTTGTGGTTCTTTGGTGTGTCATTAGGATCTGGCAGCTTGAAACTCTCCTGCAGGAGACACACAGTGCAGTATACTGTGGTTAGCATGTTGCTATTACAGAGAGTTACTACTGAGAAAGCCAGTATTAGCAGGGCTCCCCACTGCTGGAGTGAAGGGAGCTGCCACTGCTATGTAGGTGATCTTCAGGGACTCCATAGGTGCTGTTCGACTGCACTGTCAGACCCAAAACCTACAAGCATCTAAGGAGCAGTAAACCCACCATGCTTCCCCCACACATACATTTGTAAGGATATGTGCAGAACTTTATGCAAATTACATCTTAAACCTCTGAGATTCCTGGAAAGGAAATAGTTTTTCCAATTGTACATCTGGTGCAGAGGGCTGTGAGAGCACGTTAGATATCTGTTGTCACATCACATTGCCTGCCACGTTACATAATCATGAAATGAACCAGGACTTTTATGAGATGATGATAATCAGCTGCCACTATTCTTTGCATGATGTCACTTGTCTGAAGTGCAATGCCTGAGTCTTTGCCTGGATGAAGTTGTTTTGAAGTTAGGGTTATCAGGGGACTACTATAACAGCAGTTGGAGTTGAATAGCATCAATGACATGTTCTGAACTGAATGTCTGTTATTTCCCTCAACAAAGTGATTACATCAGTAATAACAGTAAAAGTAAAATTATACAGATGAAATTGATTTAGGTGTTTTTCATTTGTCTTTAGATGTCAGTACATTTTTAAAAGGAAAGATTGGCTTTATGTAATCCCCAGCGATATCAGTTGAATGACTGCTGCAACACATACGCCCTAGATCAGTAACATCAATGTCTTCTTAAGAGCTAGAGAGGGTTAGAGTAAGATGGGAAAAACAATAAGTGACACACAGTGGTGGAAGAAGTACTCAGATATTTTACTTAATTAAAAGCAGACATACAAAATTGTAAACGTTTTGATACAAGTGAAAGTCCTGCATTCAAAATCTTACTTAAAGGTGGGGTAGGTAAGTTTGAGAAACCGGCTCGAGATACACTTTTTGTTATATTCCATGGAATGCTCTTAACATCCCGATAGCAATGAATATTTTAAGTGCTTTGACAAAAAATCCATACAAAAATGTTCATCTGTGGAAGCCGTAGTACTGTAAAAAGCACGACCAATCATTTTAGCCGGCCCGGCTAAAATAACTGGATGGCCTACCTGCCCGTCAGCCTTCCATCTGTGCACAAACTTATCTCGTGCCCTCATTGGTCATGTGCGTGTTCGTGTGTGTTGGAGGAGGGGCTCTGTAAGGAAGTAGCAGATTTCTTCCGGCTGTGTATTTTCAAATTCTAGCGCACTCGAGCTGGGTTGCGTTCCGATAATCCAAAATTAGCTCCTAAATTCTAACCCTATCTCCTATTCCTTGACCTCTGAGTGAAACGTCACGGGGTTAAGTGATAGTGGATAGGAGAATTCAAAAGGATTTAGGAGAAGAGACCGCAGTACTTTAGAGAATCCGAATGCACTTTCACTATCCGACGTGTTTATGATGCGCCAGTGGACGTCATGAATGTGCGTCTGCTGCTGTGGGGGAACTATGGAAACTACAGTTTTCTACAGCGGACTACAACATGGATGTTCAATAAGAACGAGGCGGGACTACTGTAAACTCATCTAGAGACTCTGCACCGTGCTCTGATGCTGTTGCTTTATGCTTTATGAACGGGGACAACAGAGAAACATATTCTTCATGACCAAAGTTGGAATTGAAATAAAAAAGGAAAGTGAAACTTATGCTCGTCACCCTCTTCCTCCGGTCCGCATTAATACAAATGATCCCAATACGTATGACTGTATGAACTATGAAAATATCTTAAAATCAAAACAAATGTATTTATTATAAACGTTAGTTCTTAACATCTATCACTGTGTACATCACCATTCAAACATATTTTACAAGTTGAACAAACCCCACACAGCTCAGTAAAGATTTAAATGTTGACTTTATTTGATCATTTCAGTAAAAACTAACGTTCATATTTCTCTTTTTGATTATAATACTGATGAACGTTCAGAAAAAAGCACTTTGGCAACTTACCACATACGTTTTAAAATGCTTAATAAGCACCGTAACTTTCATGATATCATTTCTCGGTCATAATCGGTTGTTTCCGTGAACGGCCGACTGTTGAGTGACGGCAAATGCTGCGGCTGCAATGCATTGTGGGGCAGCATTTCTCCTCTCCTTTCGGTTAGGGAGGTCCAGTGGTTCCTAAGCTAAAGGAGGTTATAAAGGAAGTTTGAAACCTCCTTTCCTTTCATTTGGAGAATTGGAACGGCACTTATCATGGCTGCCAGTGACGTACTTCCGGGTCATTTCACTCCGTTAGGAAGGTTCCTAAGGTAAATGGACTATTGGACTTCAGCCCTGGTTTCTCCAAAATTACCTACCCTACCTTTAAGTAAAAATACTAAGTATTTGCATTACAATATACATCAAGTACTAAGAGTTTACGTACTTGTACTGCGTAATGACACAATGAGGAATCGTATACATTTAATTACTGGGCTATGATTATTGATGCATTAATGTGGTCATCACAGCTTGTAAATGTAAAGCTAATTTGAAATGCTCTATATAATGTTTCTGGATATTTTAACCAAAATAATTATATATTTATATGTCATCATTAGTTTAATGATTGATTTACATTTTGTATAAGCTAATACTCCTAATCTATAGAGTAACTAAAGTTGTCAAATAAATGTAGTTGAGTAAAGAGTACAACATTGCCTTACAAAATGTAGCCGAGTAGAAATATAAGGTAGCACACACAACAAATACTCAGGTTAGGTAAAGGTACCTCATAATTGTACTTAAGTACAGTACTTGAGTAAATGTATTTCGCTTGTATCCACCACTGGTGACACATGAGGAATTGTTAGGTTGTGACTGCTCTAGTTTAAAGGAAATGGTTTCATGCTGCTAGCCATTTATGCCATTTGTCAGTGCTTTGCAGAAACTACTGTACAGAGTACCTTTTGTTTAGTGATTATATTTCATGTCTAGCTCTTTGTTGAAGTTTGATATTGTGGTTAGTTCACATAGCTACATGCAGTAGTTCTTTGCCCTCTTTGTACATTTCCCCCCAGTATGCTACACACATGTTCCACATGGAGAGCATATTATTCAGGTGCTACATGATTTCCATTGCTGTGAGCCCCTTGGTTTGCCTCCATATTGGTAGATGCTGTCAGTCTTCAGTTACCGAGCCTCAGATACCTTCCTACTTCAGCTGTTGTGCTTCCTCCTACGTGTGACCCACTTTTCACTGGTCAGTTAGGCCATAACTCATACCAAAGTCTCTGGTTACATTCAAAGCAACATTGCAGAGACACATATACCTTCTCTGGTTTATACATTTTTAGAAGCTTGAATTATTTCTCTTTCTTTTTCTTGGGTCACAGTGAACAGCTGACTCAGCAGGAGGTCTGCGTTTTTCCCATCTCCTGTTCTCTGACTGAGAACAAGAGTTAGTGGTTTATTTTAGAGTAAACTCAGGGCTGGCTGAACCTTGTCCCTTTTTTAATGCAGACAACACAAACTGTAAAAAACAAATTGTTTTTACTTCTTAAAATCACAGAAACTGAAGAAAGGATGTATTTTAAACCTAACCAAATACAGCTGATATACCCTTATCGTACCATTGCTCATGCGCTGCTCTTTTAGCTGTTGCATCAGAGGTTAAACATCCTCATATTAGAATAATGAATTTAAATATTATGAAACCTTTTTTCCGTTGTTTGACAGTTTCTGACAGTTTAGGCTGTAAGACAGTTTATGTCTTACATAATGAGTGCTGTAAAAGGAGCACACAGGCAACCGCTGTGATTTTACGCAGGTATGACTCTACTTGGAAATGTGTCTGAAACCCTTGCTTTCCTTCAAATAGTGTCTAGTGTAAAGTCAGCGTAAAGTATGAGATTTTTACTGCCCCATAAAACTAAATGGCCATTATATATCAACAGGGGGTTAATCGGGCTGTTGAGCAATGCCAAGGGACTGTGTTGCCAGGTAATTAGATTTTTGGACTAAAATGTCCTGTTTGTAATCTGTTCTGGGTCAAAAACACATCACATTATCGGCAATAGAAAATGTGTACTTTTTAATCTGATTGATAGTATCAATTTGTATTTGTATATATCAAAACCAAGTTAACAAAAGTTGTAACACTTTCTTCGTAAACACCTCTGACCTCTGTACAAAGAAAGCCTCTGAATGGAAAAAGTGGAAGTAAGGAAATCAATTGCTTTTACAGAAGCAACTCGGCGTGAAAAGTATCAACAGCTTTATTCTTCAGGGCTGAACAAAACAAGCAACAACATGTACCCTAACAAACTGACATTTCACTGCAACATCCAAGAAAAAGGGAACAGGATGGTTGTTCAGAAGTTGTCAAGTGTGCTTTACAGGAAAAAGTCCTTCAGGGCCAAAACTGGAGTGAACATTGGCACTGCTGATCAAAGATGAAGACTTCCAGATAAGAAAGGCTTGAAAATAGATCAAGATGTGCTTCTTTTTTATTTTGACTGGTTGGTTTAACTTGTATTATTGTTTTGGTCCGAGAGCCAAAGAGGCACAACTAATACCAAACTCTGAGTAAATGATTCAGAATCAGTAGAGTCTGATGAGCTGTAAGCAGGGTTTGTAGTCTTAATGATTTATTAGCTAACTTGATATACAATTAATAACCATACATTTGCTTGTGGTAATTGACTGAAGATAAGTTAAAATGCCATCGCTCCTTTTGACAAATAGTGAATTAGCTTATGCTGTGTGTGTGTGACCAGATAGGACAACATTACCAATCAGTCTGTGTTCTTTAAGGTGAATTTGATAACACAGTCAATAAGTTACCTTAGATAATAAATGACTGTTAGTTATCTCTAAGATATGGTAAGAAACTCAAGAGATCAAACACTTACAGGTAGTCTCCTTATCCAGGTTCATTTATAGTTCGGTTGGTCAATTAAACCCATTGATCAATTATTTAACTTTAACAAATTCAGGGAAATGTCTTCTTAGTTGAGAATTTAGTGGTAATGCTATCAGCCAAATTAGTATACTGTATATGTGTTCTGATGCAACCCAAATCTTAAATTGCCACTGGGAGATGATGTGACTTTTTTCTTGCATTGCCTGTATTTGACAGGAGAACAGTTTTTGGAGAGCTTCACACATTTTAATGGTTGTGGAAAAAGTGAGCTTATTGTAATATAGTAAAGGCATTGACAGCAAACAGGGAGCAGAACGAACCATCCCACAGTTTGTGGCTAATGCACTTAATACCCAGAGCGAGGATAGTTTACCCTATAATATTGTATCTTACTTCACATATTATAATTGATGAAAAGCCACTGCAGTATAATGAGCATTATGTCCTAAATATGGAAAATAATGAACAGGAATTATTTGTTCTTTTTCTACCAAGGAGGAGTAAAGGAACAGCCTCTGGTTTTCCATTCTAAGGTGAAGTCGTCTGGATACACCAGTGCCCCAAGGTAAGTCACTGAGCAATTTTAATGTACATTTAAATGACAGGAGGATTAGAAAAGCAAAACTCAATGCATTCCTAAAAAAATATTTATGAAGTTTGATTCACCAAATATATTGATACATGAAACATCACAGGAACATTTTGTTTTTGCTTTTTAGAAGTGCTATGTTTTCACCTAAAACAAATATCCAGAAGAATCCCTCCTCTAAAAAGGCTCACAAAAATACGTAAGCAAACCCATCCTTAAAATGCAATTTCGAGAAGTTAATCACATTTTATTGTTGATTAACATATTGTACTAATTTCGATGTTTTTGTAGAGGTTTACTCCTCAGAGATTACCCAGCAGACAGTGCAGCACCCACTATTCCACATACTCATCTAAGCATTGCCAACAAGCCAATCCACTGCCTTCAGTATTCAGGTGAGACAATATGGCTGCTGCAATATTGACCATAATATGTGAAACATAATGTCATTTATGTTATATTTTAGGACAGATGTTTCTATTTCAGACAAAACACCTTCCTTGTATTACTGCTGTTAAATAAATAGTCTGTTACCTGAAATATCCTAATAAAACGTTTCTGTGTTTCTCTGTCTCTCCCAGGTGACGGCAAACAAATCCTGTGTGGTCTTGGCGACAGCTCCGTGTTATTGTACAAGTCCTCCCTTACTGGCAACCCAACTGTCTACACAGGTGCATGAAGTGGTCCTGAGTATCAATACCGTAAAAACTTCTGGGTTAACAGTATTCGCCCTCACTCACCTCAAGGCATTTACATGTTGTTAATTGTCTTTGCCAATAGAAGGACTTATCGTATTGATGTTTTATTCTATTGATTTATTCATGTATTAATAGACTCCTCACAGATAATATTCATATGTTAGAGTCAGCCAAGGTTGAGATGTTGCTCCTGCTGTTTGAAGAGACAAGGAGGATTAATTCTTAAAACGCCATCCTCAGCATGGTCAGCCTTATTTGGGATACTGTGATTAAAATATCTTGAAACAGATTCCATGGCTTAAGATGAAAGACTGCTGGAACATTCAAACATTCACTTACTAAGCTATCACTGTCAAAATGGTTGATGAAGCATAGTCTTCTACCAGGAAAAGCATGGTTTGGTTATATTCCAATGCAAGAATTAAGTACATACCGTCTTTGATTTTGGCAGACAGTAAAAGCTATAGGTGATGATAGACGAAAGAGCACATCGCCTTTGGACACCAAATTCCTCAATATATTTCACACGGTGTTAAAAATGTAAGCATTACCAAGAACAGTCAGTTCTGTCTGCCACCCAGCGATCCTAGGCTGACACTGACACTGACAGGCGAAGAGAGGATATCCATCCATGTCAAGCATCTGTTTCGCACTTGCTGGCTGAAGTGCAGCGGGAACAAAGTCTCCACAAGGGGGCGCCAGAGATAATATGACAGGAGTTGAGGTGACCAGTAGGTCATTGTGTGCCTTCTCTCTTTACTCTGCAGCACTATAAAAGTAAATGTCACAACCGCATTCTGTTTCCAGGTTCACTTCAAACTTCTCTATTTACAAGCAGGGCATGACAAGCCAGTGGGCAGTGTGAGCTGGAGCCTCAACAGACAGTGGTGGCTGAGTGCGTCAGAAGACCAGTCCCTACGAATCTGGACCCATGGCAGCCCAGAGCCTGCCATTATCATGGTAAATGTCCTGTCATTCATGAAAAGACGCTGTTCATTTAGATTTGTATGGGTTTTAATTTAGTCCCTATCACCCTAATCTTATCAACCATCCATAAACCTAATGAAACCTTCCCTCAGCCCATACAAATCAGTGAAATAAGGACCAGCCAGAGTGAGCTCATATTGCAAAAATGTCCTCACTCTGAAGGTCTTAAACTCAAATTGGTTTAGAAGGGTAAGCATTAAGTACAGACACATGACGTACACCCTCACTCCTTTCTTCAAAGACAGCTATGATTGCTAGAAGGATTTCCCCCTAATTGTAGTGTTGTAAATGGGGCAACAATGCCACACTTGAATGACAGTAAAAGTAGTTGCTACTGTATGCACGTTGTTTTCATTTGCTGTTCTCAGCAACCTGCTTTCAAAGTATTAAGACTCAGGATTAGATATTGGGATCAAGTAAGATAATAATAAATTAATAATGTTTTAAGGTGGATTGGTAGGGTGCGCTATATTATATAGTGGGAAATGAGGGTAAAATATGCTTTTATGCAAATTCTCTCATTTGTTTTGTCTGTAATGCATTAACAGTTGGCATACCTTTGTAACAGAGCCTTTTTTTTATTGTTAAAGTATATATTTTTCCTTTTCTAATAAGAATATCCTCTCTGAATTAAAAAAAGACAAAAACAAAATTAATTGGGATGATGACATGGTGGGTTTCTTGGCTTAGAGACGGTCCCTTTGTCATGTAAAGCATCTGCCGGACTCAGAGCGTCCAAAACACTGATCATATGCAGACCCTCCTTACTTCATTGGGTATCACATTCAATAGGACAGTCAGAAGTGTGTCTGTGTCCCCATGCCAAGCACAAACTAAATCTGGGGTCTCCCTAAAGCTGATGCTTACCATCCGCTTGTCTTAGTGAGATAGTTTTGAGCTTGGCGGGGTCTGCAGCCTTTCACTGCTTGGTGTTCTTGTGAAAGAACTTGGCAACAAATGTAGGGACAAGGGTTCTGGAGGGGTTAGCCAGAATAACAAATATCTTTGTACAGTTGAAACCTTTAAAGGAAACAACCACAAATGACCACTTACAGTAGTGTTCTTAAAGTCTATTGTCATTGGAAGTCTTCAGAGGTCAGATAGGTGGGAGATAAGTCAACAGAGAAACCGTTCGGACATGACGGCCTGACTGTTAGCTTCTGTTATCTTGACAAAATCTAACAGTTTGGGGGTTAAGGCCCTACTGGATGCTTTTTCTTTAGTTCACTCGCTCCTTTTTTGGATAATCTTTTAGTCTTTCTTTCCACTAATCTGAGTTGGAAGGGTTGTGGTTTCTTGGCAAATGCCTGGAGAAAACAGACAGTACTTAAATAATTTATCTGAGTATGTTGCAGGTATCAATTTGAGAAATTAAAAAGCTATAGCAGTGAACAGCACTTACTGTTACAGCTTTTTATTGCTTAGTAATTCAGCAGTGACTTTGCTTTAAATCACCTTCAGGCAACATGGAGTATCAAGTTAGACAAAACAATTTAGAAACAACCATTTAAGGTCTAAGTCTTTATTTTAGCATCAATGTAATGATAGAAACACACAAGAGACTTTGATACAAATGTTTTATTTGTAGTTATATTTGCAGTTTATATTTTAGTTGTCAGTACTATATGCTCTGGTATCATAAATGTCTCAATCTTTTCAGTATATCAGCTTAATTTATGTCTTCTTCCTTTCACCCTTTAGGGCAACAGTATGTTCTCCAAACCCATTAGGAGTGCTCAGTTTTATTACCTCGACAAATTTCTGCTTCTGGCATCTGGACCCTCTCTATACCTGTACCTTTATAATGTGGACATCACACGGGACGACATCAAAAGGTAATCACAAGGGCTTATTATACACAATAGTTCAGTGTTTCTACTTATAGTGAGTAAACTTGCTATTGCTATTGAATTGGTTTAACTTCAACTTCATTTCATGTATTATTCTATATACAAAATAAGATGCAATGACAAAACTGAGAACGCTGGACAGAGTCCGGGCAAAGATTTCTCTCATAGTTTTTCATACAATTTAACACCCCAGTCACTGCTGGGTAGTCAAATGAAGTCTATAACCTTTTACTGGCCCAGCCTCAAATAATTCATTAACCTACAACATCAACATCTTAGTGGACTGTCATAAAGGATATCAAAATGTACAAACAAAACATATAGGTTTAATACTACAGTACATTTCCATATGAACACTGTATACTGTTTGTATTTCTTCCATTCTAGTATTTGTTTAATCCATAACACCTTGAAACCATTAATAGAACAGCTGAAATAAATGTAACTGAGGCATGGTACTGGCGCGTTAGAGAAGCATCATAACATTAAATACATCTAATGTGGTTACACAGTCACAGGGGCTTCCATTCAACCTCAAAGCTGCACAATAGGATCACACTCTTGATGACATGGTAACACTGACACATTGACTGCCTTTCCCAAGAGAAGATTAAAAGCACTTGCAGGCTACAGAGGGCATTTTTCAGAGATTTAAACCAATCACCCACCACTTTTCATCTCAAGCCTTAATAATAATGACCACCACATCTATTATAACAGCAATGCAATGCAGATGAAAGGGGCATACACTGTAGATCAAAGGACTGATCTTTAGTAAGACTTGTGTTTATGTAGGAAGCAGGTTTTGTTGCTTAAGCTAGATTTGTTACTGATTTAATGGCCGTCTGGCTATATTTAGCTGCTACCACACACTGCTGACACTCGTTCCCACCAAAAGTACATGACTGTGTGTTGTCAGGCCCTATTTACTGGACTGGACTAGGGAAATCACAATTGAGTATCTGCATTTCCTGCAAAAAAGTTAATCTAGTTTATTTTATTGGTTTAGAAACTGATGCAGATTCTTTTTTTTCTTATCAGGTATCAGCAACGGAGTGTCGTCAAATTGGCTAAATGCATAACGTCAACATCAGCGACAGACATCACTGCCCTGTCTGCTATCAATGATTTCTTCTCTTGTATCCTTTTGTCTTGGTATTATTGTTTTTGCGATAGGAAGTATTCTATACAGTAGACTGCACTGATGCTGTGGAGAGCAAAGTGTTGCCTCAGGGCAAACACTGCAGACTGTACCTGTAAATCATTTAGGTGTCTTACATTTTTCAGGAATGTCTGCGTTCCTGCCCCTTTTTAGGTTTTTACGATGCATTTACTTTACAATAAATCCACTGGTGTGAGCTGCGTCAAGATAAGTGGCATCCTGTCTGTAGTTATTTTGCACCACCATGTTTGGAAGTGGAAAATGGGTATACAGTGATTACAGTAAAAACTATTATAAATGGGATATTTTAAGTCTGGATTTACCATATCAATTAAGGATTTATTGGTTTATCATTAAAAACACACAATTAAGTTAAACAGAAATATGTGTCTTTGTTGCCTACAGCACGCCTATAGTATGTACAAAAATAATATCATACATTTTCTTAAAAGCCGTCTCAGACATTGTTCTAGCTTGTGGTTCTGATCGATCCATCCAGGTATTTGACATGAACAAGGGTTGTGTTGCCGCAGCGATCCCTGATGCTCACAGCAGATCCATCCACTGCATTACACAGAACAAGGTGAGTCCATTTAAATCTTACTTTCAAAAAACGGACTGCCAAATCCTTTTTAAGAGTCCTATGTTCTACAAAATATGTTATCTTTATTATATGTATTATAATACGATGTAACGTCAATAATGTCAACATGTGTGAAGTACCTACGCATAGATTCTTCATACATAAGAAACTGGTAAGTATACTGGATATCAAAACTGGAAGCCATTGAACAAGTTTTACCCATATCCTGACTATTGTGAAAAACACAGCAGTCTGCAACTTCTGCTGTTCCCTCTTACATCAATAGGCAAAAACAATGAGTGTGATTCATTCAAATAAAGTTTGCCTTAAACCACGGACATTGTTTTTCTGAAAATGGCATATTTCTTTACAATTATTTTTGTCATTGAAAGGGAACCGTTTATGGCATTCAAAAACTCACCAATAAACGTGTTTAGTGTAGTTCCCATAGGTAGTTCCACTAAAACTTACAAAAATCTTTTAACCTTTGTGAATGGAGTCAAAAACATAACCGACAGACTGAGTGACGTTCAGACCTGACCCATACAACAGAGATTTAGCTTGGCTTGGCATCAATTGTGAGTATGAGCTCCATCTTCCATCTAACTCTTGAAGGGGCTACTATTTGGCAGAGGCTGTAGTCTTACACAAGACTTCTAGGAGCGTTGTGAGAGTTACATACGGCACAAATCATCTTTGAGCAAACTAAAGTGTTAGTTTGTGGTGTGACTGAAGAAGGTCATGGTTAAAAAACAGTTTCCATGACAGACAGACTGGACGTGCCATCATCAGTATCATTCATCTTGCTGAGTGTTTGAATGTAAATCCCTGGTGCATCAGGATTAAGCCTGCCACAGGAGATGGCAGGCTGAGATTCATGCTGGATGGTGGCCTTGGAGTAACGCTGTTCCATGATGCACTTTGGGTTTTTGTGGCCTTACTCCCTCATCACTGTCTTGGACCAATGTGGGCCCAATTTGCTGGTGTCTAACAAGTAGACAGCTTGGGCCTGTATCCATATCCATTATAGTGCTATGAAGAATGTAATACTGCGTCATCACTCAAAATGAAACTATAAATATCAGTTATGAATTCTGGGTATTTTTTACATTTCTGTGCAGATATGTCACTTTTTTTTACAGTGGAAAGAAGGTCCTGGTTTGCCTGTTTTTCTAATAAAAAAAAAGCCATTACTTTTCATCATAATAAATGCGTAAATCATTCAGCTGCTAATATAACTTATCTTAACCCTCCTATTGTCTTCGTTTCCCCCCTTACTTTGGTGTTCGCGGTCAAATTTGACCGGTCCGGTTTTAACTGCTATTACATTAACACAACAACCATTAATCATCACCAAATTTCATTTAACACACTTTCAACCTGTAAATATTGTATCAGACTACTGGTATACATGAAAAACTTCAGTAAATATACAAAGAATAGACACTGAATATGTATTGCGTGTGCCAGGTGTGGGGGACACATCTAGGAGAGGATGAGAGAACAGAGAGGGAGGTGAGGTGAGTGCTAGAGTGTAGAGAGAGTGTGAGTGTGTGTGTGTGAGTGTGGTGTGTGTGTGTGTGTGTGTGTGTGTGTTGTGTGTGTGTGTGTGTGGTGTGTGTGTGTGTGTGTGTGTGTGTGTGTGTGTGTGTGGTGTGTGTGTGTGTGTGGTGTGTGTGTGTGTGTGTGTGTGTGTGTGTGTTGTGTGTGTGTGTGTGTGTGTGTGTGTGTGTGTGTGTGTGTGTGTGTGTGTGTGTGTGTGTGTGTGTGTGTGTGTGTGTGTGTGTGTGTGTGTGTGTGTGTTCCGATTCGGATGGTTACTAATTCCTTTTCTTTATGGCGGTCATTTTTGACCGGGAAGACCATGGGTGTTACAAAGTTGACTAAATCATCCAAAATTCAATGAAAGTGGTGATCAGCAATTTTATATGTTGAAATGTCTACTGTGAAGGATATCATAAAGCCTTAATGCAATTGAATGTAAAACAAAAAAGTTATGATTGATGAAAGTAGTAAATCGGTCAGATTTGACCCGAAGACAACAGGAGGGTTAATACAGAAAGGTGTGTATTTGTGCGAGCTTGGGCCTGTATCCACATCCATTATAGTGCTATGAAGAATTTAATATAGCGTCATCACTAAAAATAGAGAGAAAATAAACTATAAATATCAGTTAAAAATTCCTGAATTCAAGTCTCAGGTTTTCTGCATTTTATTACATTTCTTTGCTGATATTTTTCATTTTTCAGTGAAAATCAGGCCATGGTGTCCCTCCACTTATATTGATGTTTGACTGTTTTTGTAATAGCAACAAAGCTATTAGTTTTCATCATAACACATCTATAAATCATACAGCTGCTTACATAACTTATCTTAATATAGAAAGGTGTGTATTTGTTTGAGCTTGGGCCTGTATCCACATCCATTATAGTGCTATGAAGAATGTAATACAGCGTCACCACTAAAACTAGAGAAAATTAAATATAAATATCAGTTAAAAATTAAAATATCAGTTTTTCTGCCTTTTTTTTATAAATGTCTTTGCAGATATGTTTAATTTTACACTGAAAATCAGGGCATGGTGTCTCTCCAGCTATATTGATGTTTGACTGTTTTTGTAATAGCAACAAAGACATACATTTTCCTCATAACAAATCTATAAATCATAGCTGCTTATATAACTTATTGGAAAACAGAAAGGTGTGTATTTGTGCGAGAGAGAAGCTTGTACCCAGTAACCCTGAGCTATTGACTCTCTCTCTCTCTCGCATGTTGACCTGTGCATACTTGACACTCAGGGCCAGCCTGGATTAGCTGGACACACTGCAGCTAGCGGCATGGATTAAATGCATCAACCCATTCAACTGCAATGCTCTCTTACACACAGCTGACCACACTCCTTCCACCCAGAGGTGCCTGTTCTTTGTCACGCCAGCTATTGTGTGCCATACACTGTGGAAAGCCAGCAGTGTGTTGTTTCAGCTTGGCTATTGCGTCAATGACGGGTCCTCCGTCTGGGTGCCCGAGGGCCTGTGGGTGCTGTAGGGTTAATACCTGAGGATCAGAGGGATTGCCCCGGCCTGGAGACTGCACACATAACATCACTCTGTCCTCCCCTCTAGCTTTGTCGTCCCGAGCTGGACCGAACTTTGGGAACTGCAGCATGTGAAGCAGTTTTTCCCACTTCAAATTTCCATGGCCTCTTTGGCAAAATTCACCTGGAACTCATCAGAGCTGAGGACTTCTCGGAAAAATGGAACTGGAAATGCCCTCTCAGACTCCCGTTCTCACACTCTTAGTGGAAATCTAAACAAAAAACACCCCCACCACTCTCTCTCTCTCGCTTTCTCTTGCTCCCTCTCTCTGTAACACACACACACACACACACTCCACTGTTTCATCTGATAAGTTGGTATGAAAGTCATATATGGAATGTATGTATACACGTGCAATGGAAAGTCTTTATATTTATAGATGTACCGTATCTCAGAGTGGTGCAGAAAAGATGGAAAATGATACACAAAGGCAAATTAACTACATTTTTGTTTCCATTCCAGTTTTCCTTCCAACCCCAATGCGCGTAGATCGCCCTAAAGTCACCTTCTACTTTTAGGAAGTATTAATGCTACCTGGAATAAAAATGTGCTTTATTTGCCAAGACAGGATATACAGCAAAGAAACTTTTCCAGTACTGGACATTGATTTACAACCCATTTCAGTCAAGCATGTGCTGACTAGTCATTTTTCTCTTTTTTGTGTATAATTCACAGGGCTCTATGTTCAGCACACAAGCTCCAGATTCATACAACCTCTTCCTCACCAGTGCAGTCACGGACGGTGTGAAGATGTGGGACCTCCGTTCACTGAGGTTGGTTTCAATATGGTCTTTTTTTTGTGTTTGTTATCGATGCGCATCTAATGTGATAACCAAAAAAAGTGTGTTCAAACGCCTGTCATTAAATACACACTTAGTAAATACTTCTGTAAGCTTAGGTTAAAAACCCATAAGCACAACATTAGTGGCATTACAGTATACGTACAGTGGATAGCAACTTAACCAAAACAAGAAAGCATTGAAAACTATATTCACATGACCTTTTAGGACACTTGGCTTAAAGTGCAGAACTACTGGCATTGATTCTAAAAGTACTGCCTCATCCTGACGTAATAGGGTTTTGCCATTATTTCAGACAGTTATTTTTAACACCTGAATGCAACCTCTGTAAGAGCTTAGCCTCACTGTATTTTTCTCTGTTTCTGACAGAAAGCTTAACCTAATACATTAACTGTGATGAGCAACTGTAATCACCCCATTTGTTTTGTGCTGGCTTTACTGTCATAATCTCTACAACATTTGGTCCAAATTACCAAAGAGCAATAGATATTCCATCACATTAGGGAAGAAATATTTTCCCTCTGATATTCCTAGAAGTGCTAAATGACCTGATATTCCAATAACCCCATAAAACGTTCTCACAGAAAACAATCCTCAGTTGATAATGGAATCTGCAATTGTTCAATTTTCAAAGTACGTAGTTAAAAATATTTTTCTTCTGGCATTTAGTAGCCGATCCATATAAGGCGGATAATTCAAGGAGGCTCTCTTGGATTTAAAAATGTTCCTTTTGGCCCAGATGAAAGGCATTTTTAGTTAGTTCGTTCATTCATGGCTGAGTCTGCTTTCATGTTTAACTCTATATCCCGGACTCAATCAAAACCTTATTTTTTATCAGATAAATATTTGTGCATAGTTTCCAGGTCAACTTCTGCTCCTTAGAGCTGTCATCAAGCATCCCTCAGTAGATGCAGTTCCTCTGAGTTGAAACATGTGTATGTATGAAAACAACATGTAGCATTTGTCAGGCCTGTTAATTTGATTACCCTCTTTGATAAATGTTATGTGTCTGTTTTCGTAGCTAGTGCTAACCACAAACAGTGGTACAGCTCACCTAAATTAATATATATTTATGTGAGGCTTGCCGCTCATGGGAGTAGTTAGGTCAGTTCTTGGTTTTATGTTCTTTTTTCTCTCTGAATGATATAAAAAGGCAATATAAAATTCTTGGAAATATTGACTTGCACGTGTAAAGCTGCCATAAGGTGCTCATGTGACTGTTGTTTTTGAACAACCATCAGCATCACAAAGATATGTTTGAAGAATGTTCAGAAAAGAATATCTCTTAACCCAGGGATGTCAAACTAAAGCTAACTGAAGTGCTAGATATCCTTAAAGGTAAGGTAATCGATTATCTTTTTTTGATTTTGCCTTTAGGGCTAGGCTATTAGGTAACTTATTGAGCGCTTTTACATCTGTCTAAGTTAGACAACATTGAATTGAAATGTGTCTGGCAAGCGGAGAGTAACATAACACTTTTTTTAGAAAATTAATGAGACCAGACATTTTCTCACGACACTGACACAATAAACCGTCATTCCGAGTTTGATTTCTGCAATCTGTAGAGTCATTGCCAATTTATTAATTGGTATGTTTTACAAACTGTTTTTCAATTAGACATTAACAGTAATCTTATGACTGTATCGTTCTAGTCCATCAACACTGCTGAGGAATGAGTGTCATGGCTGTTATTCTTTACATTGAACATAAATACAGTGTGGCCATATTCCCGTAAAGTTAATGGCGTAATATTCTTATTGGTCACAGAAACGCAGAAATTGTTACTGTAGGTTGGAACAAGAGGAGGATTACTGTTCCCCCTCTTCAATCAAACTATAGGAACTTCTAGGAATAAACCACAATGGGAAATGTACATTTCACTACTGAAACTCAATCTTCATTTTTATTTTGCCCTCACAAGAGAATCCCCAGCCCTTCTTGTTCCTTTCTTTTCATTCAGAAGCACAAACATGCATGATACCCCTGTGTGTCTTTCAAATACTGAATGACAGTAATGGTTAGAAACATTTTTAACACTTAAAGAAAGAGTTTAATAAGAAATGTTAGTCACTGGATTAATTTTTGTATTTATATATATGGGTTTATTTTTTAAAGCCTTTACTCACCCCTTGTATTTCCTAATCTTTATTTCTTGACGAGTCTACACTTTAGTATTTAGCACAGTTTCAAATCCCCTGCAATCATATAACAGATTTTATTTAAAGCTGCAGACAGTGATGATCAGGTCCTCACACATCCATGTGTGTTGGGCGTATTGGTGGTACCCTGAAGCAAAGAAATGTGTTGACTTACAGCAGTTTCTTTGGTGAAACATCAAAATGGCTCTGCCAACCCAAACCATTGTAACCTTTGCCAAATTTGAAATCCTTTAGAAGTAAATGCCCTTGAATGTTAGAAAACAATTTAAAATTCAAAATAATAATAATAATAGCTTGGATTTATATAGTGCCTTTCATGAGACCCAAGGTCGCTTTACAAGGAAGAACAGGGCAAAACAAACATAACAAAACAAAAGGCAGTCAGACAACCACTCAGACAGACACAATAACAAATAGATTAGGGGCCAAAGGCCTTAGTGAACAGATGGGTCTTGAGGGCCCTTTTGAAGGCATCAAGCGTGGGGATGTTGCGGATCTCCGCAGGGAGAGCGTTCCAGAGGGTGGGGGCTGCCACACTGAAGGCTCTGTCCCCGAAGGTTCGCAGTTTGGTGCGGGGGGTGGTAAGCAGGCCAGAGTCTGAAGACCGCAAGTTCCGGGGAGGGGCATGTGGGTGAAGGATGTCCGATAGGTACTGGGGGGCATGGGCATGGAGGGACTTGTAGGTAAGGAGGAGGATTTTGAATGATATGCGGGACTTGACCGGCAACCAGTGGAGGTGGATGAGGGTGAGAGTGATGTGCTGCCACGGCTTTGTATTTGTGAGTACCCATAATAAAATGACAGCTGGTGAGCCTTTTTGCCATGCACAACACACATGTTTATGTAAATGATCACCAAGTCTGTATTTTGTGCAAGTTTTAGTCAGTTAAGTCCTCTTAAGGTATATAAAGAACAGTCATCCTAAAGATAGATTTAACAGATGTTTTTTCTTTAGTCCAGATTTGTATCCCCATGAATCTGGTGACATTTCCATATTGTGATAATTGAATGCAATATCAATAATGCATTTATATGAAATGGTAAATACTATAGTACAAGGAAAAGCTAGCCTTTGCCTGATTTGGTCTGACAAAGTTAAATTGGGCCAAATATATTGGCTGCAAATACAACGCTATGATTAGCTCGTTGATTACCTCGATGACTGACACTGAATCCCCTCCTGGATTCAGAATCTGTAAAGGCTCCCACTCAGGAGGATCAGACCGTCCAGTGTAGTCTGTTTAAGTCATCAGGAAAATGCCAGATAGCCATCACTCACACAACACAGAATCTGTGTGTGTGTGGGGGGGGGATTCTGCCGAGCACCTCCTTAAGGCTTAACATTAGATCCACATTCTGACTTAGGAAAAAGCAGATGAGTGTTTATTCTAACTTGTTAAACTGCTTCTTATCAGTGAGATAGTGACAGGTTGTGTCAGCTGAACTGTAGACCTGCATGTCCAGATGTACTGAAGGGGATTTAGAAACACATACTTCTCATCCATCTTTCTATGCATAGAAATTATTAGAGATTTGTACTATGTTTCTCACAAGAAGCTCTTTCACAGGACATCATATGACCCTGTGTTGTACCATATTCATAAATGGAAGCTAACCTGGAACATTATTTTTGAAAAATAAAAAAAGTTTTAGTTTTTAGTATAATCTTAGCTTTTTTTACTCATCCCAACAGTCAGCTATATGTTATTCCTTCCTGCAAATAATGTTCTTTTTGTTTTCCCTTTTCACTAATGGCGCGTTTCCACTGCAACGGGGTAGCCCCGTTTAAGCGTCCTCGCTCTGGCCTCGGGCTGCCTCGCTGGCCGGCCCAGGCCGTGGCGCATTTCCATTACAGTTTAGGACCTGGGGTAGCAACGCAGTGTAGGCGGGGCGATCGGCTTTGTTTTTGTTCACATTTCGAGTTGTTCCGTTGAGCTCCCGCTGGATTTGATCATCCCCAATGAGATGTAGGAACGTCGTCACCTCCTCGGTCGACCACGGTGTGCTTTTCTTATTAGACGTAGCCATTTTTGTAGCTCCTCCGTTTACAAAATGCTGTGTATAAAAATGCTGCAAGCTTGCTTCTAGATATATATGCGACGGGGATGAACTCGCGCGCAATCTTGTGACGATTCTCTCTGACCAATCAGCAGTCGAGAGTGTTGACGTCACTAGTTCAGCCCTGGCCCTGGTCTGAGGGAACCACGATTTTATGAGGCCGGAAAAAGAGGGAAAAAGTACCCGCTGGCCGGTACTAGGCTATATGGAAACGCCACCAAAAACCGGCCTGGCCGCTTGAGGACGGTTAAGGACGCTTAAACTGGGCTACCCGCTGCAGTGGAAACGCGCCATAAGTTGCCCATTGTGCAGCATTGTAAAGACACTCAGTCCCATGAAGTGTTCAGTTGCAGCCAGAAATACTTTATGACTTACTCTTTTGAGGGATTTTACTGGCAGACAGCGTAGACAGCAGACTGTAACTATATGCTAGCAAAATGAGATGAACACCGTAAAAAAATTACAGTCTATACATCACAAACACAATCAACATTATAAGCTTCATAAACGTTGCTTTATTGGATGCTTTTATGTATCATTCTCACTGTACTGGGTATGTCCTATGTCTTTATGATCGCCAGTGAATATGACCTACTTTTAGTCCAGCCTAATTGCATAAGCATGTGAATGTCATAGACATTCTCTCACCATATCCTGTCAAAGCCCTGCCAACATGCCTGCCCACTCAGAGACCCTCACTCAGATAGCTGTTAGTGGCATTGTAAAGACATTACATGCAAACCAAAGAAACAGTGTATAATTTGCACAAGGGGACCATTCGTGAAATACTACCTTCACTTTCCTGTGTTTTACTTGAGTCATGCTCAGCTCCTGCTCCTGGGTTCAGTCTGTAAAGCGTGAGATCTGCAGGGTGGCATTCTGCTTCCCAACTTTGGAGCATGTTTTCTGAATACCTGAGGTCGGCAGAAACGGTCAACTCTCTTAAATCAGGGCATAACATATTATTGTTTCGGATGTTTCTCCAATAAATTACATATGCTACATAAACTTATTTGTATTTATTTATTATGTAATAATGTATTATGTATCTGCTTTCCTTTGCTTTTTTTGTTTTATCGTTTTTTAAGACCTTTTTTTACATGTCAGTGTGATGTTTTCTTAAAATCCTATGTTTTATGTTAATATATTTAAATGTCCATTTAATTTGCTTTGGTCTGAATGGCGCTTTCTCAACCGCCTTGTCTTGGTTTTTCCTGCCAGAGTTCAGTTTGCCCTAGAAGCATTTTCATCTAGCATCACAACAAATCATAAAATGTGTGAAATGGTATTTATGCCTATATCAAAGATGGGATTTTTCTTTTTTTGTTATAATACTCTTTTGTAAAAGATGTCCCCTACAATATTCCAGTCTTTCTTGACTTTCTTGAGCCTTTTCTTGAGTTTGTTAGTCTCATTAATATCTCTCCACTGTGTTCCTCTCCATCTCAGGTGTGTACGGCGTTACGAGAACCATCTCAATCGCTGCCATCCGTGCTCTGCAGCCATCTCACCATGCGGCCGCTTCATTGCCTCAGGCTCTGAGGATAACTGTGTAAGTTGGAATATTCCATATATGTCTGTCAGATTTTCTTTAAGCATAGTTGGACAATTGACTATGTTATCCATCCATCTTCTCCCGCTTATCCGTTGTCGGGTCGCGGGGGTAGCAGTTTCAGCAGAGAGCCCCAAACTTCCTTTTCCCTGGCCACATCAACCAGCTCTGACTGGGGGATCCCAAGGTGCTCCCAGGCCAGCGAAGAGATATAATCCCTCCACCTGGTCCTAGGTCTACCCCTTGGTCTCTTCCCAGCTGGACGTGCCTGGAGCACCTCCCTAGGGGAGGCGCCCAGGTGGCATCCTTACTAGGTGCCCGAACCACCTCAACTGGCTCCTTTCGACGCGAAGGAGGAGCGGTTCAACTCCGAGTCCCTCCTGGATGACTGAACTTCTCACCTTATCCCTAAGGGAGACACCAGCCACCCTGCGGAGAAAACCCATCTCGGCCGCTTGTTTCCGCGATCTCGTTCTTTCGGTCATGACCCATCCTTCAGGACCATAGGTGAGGGTAGGGACGAAAATAGCCCGGTAGACAGAGAGCTTTGCCTTCTGGCTCAGCTCTCTTTTCGTCACAACGGTGCGGTAAAGCGACTGCAGTACCGCTCCCGCTGCTCCGATTCTCTGGCCCATCTCACGCTCCATTGTTCCCTCACTCGAGAACAAGACCCCGAGATACTTGAACTCCTTCACTTGGGGTAAGAACTCATTCCCTACTTGGAGTGGACAGTCCATCGGTTTCCTGCTGAGAACCATGGACTCAGATTTGGAGGTGCTGATCCTCATCCCAGCCGCTTCACACTCTGTTGCGAACCGATCCAGTGAGTGCTGAAGGTCGCAGACCGATGAAGCCATTAGAACCACATCATCTGCAAAAAGCAGTGGTGCAATCCTTAGTCCACCGAACTGCAGACCCCCTCCCCCACGACTACGCCTCGAAATCCTATCCATGTATATTACAAACAGGATTGGTGACAAAGCGCAGCCCTGGCGGAGGCCAACCCTCACCGGAAATGGGTCCGACTTAATGCCGAGGACCCGGACACAGCTCTCACTTTGGGAGTACAGAGATTGGATGGCCCTGAGTAGAGACCCCCTCATCCCATACTCCCGCAACACCTCCCACAGTAACTCCCTGGGAACTCGATCATACGCCTTCTCCAAGTCTACAAAACACATGTAGACCGGATAAGCGTACTCCCAGGCCCCCTCTAGGACCCTTGCGAGAGTAAAAAGCTGATCCCTCGTTCCACGACCAGGACGGAATCCGCATTGTTCCTCCTCAATCTGAGGTTCGACAATCGGCCTGACCCTCCTTTCCCGGGGAGACTGAGTAGTGTGATGCCTCTGTAATTGGCACACACCCTCTGATCCCCCTTTTTGAAAAGGGGAACCACCACCCCGGTCTGCCACTCCTTCGGTACTGTTTCCGACTTCCACGCAACGTTGATGAGACGTGTCAACCATGACAGTCCCTCAACACCCAGAGCCTTCAGCATTTCTGGGCAGATCTCATCCACCCCTGGGGCTTTGCCACTGTGGAGTTGTTTGACGACCTCAGTGACCTCCCCCCGGGAGATTGGTGTTGATCCCCCGTCATACTCCAGCTCTGCCTCTAACATAGAGGGCGGAGTTGTCGGGTTCAGGAGTTCCTCAAAGTGTTCCTTCCAATGCCCTAACACTCCATCAGTTGAGGTCAACAACGTCCCCTCCTTACTGTACACAGCTTGGATGGTTCCCCGCTTCCCCCTCCTGAGGTGTCGGACAGTTTTCCAGAACAACTTTGGTGCTGTCCGAAAGTCCTTTTCCATGTCTTCTCCGAACTTCTCCCACACCCGCTGCTTTGCCTCGGCCACGGCTGAGGCTGCTGCCCTTCGGGCCTGTCGGTACCTTGCAACTGCCTCGGGAGTCTCCCGGGATAACAAATCCCTGAAGGCCTCCTTCTTCAGTCGGACGGCTTCCCTGAACACCGGTGTCCACCAGGAGGTTCGAGGGTTACCGCCCCTTGAGGCACCTAAGACCTTGAGACCACAGCTCCCCGCCGTGGCTTCGGCAATAGAGGCTTTGAACAACTATGTTAGTCAGTTATTTTTAAATGTTCTATAAACTTGAATGGGGTGATAAAGTAATTAAGGGGAGCTAAGGGGATTGCAAAAAGTTGTTTTAAAAGCTGTGTAAAAAACAACAACATTGACCACCGACATGATCATGCGTCACTGTTACTTCAATTTTTGAAGAGTTTATAGAGTGGTTAGGCCACTGTTAAAGAAGTCACAAAATAAAGCACTTAAATACTATACACTAAAATAAAAGTTGTACTATTAACATAATGCAAAAAGGCAGATACAATGAAGTATTTTTCTGCTACACTGTGTGTCAACACTGTGTCAAGCAGAAGAATAGACTATCAAACTTGTGACAATCAAGCACCTTAGAAATACTTTTTATGGTACATATCTTACAGAACCTTGTAAATCACAAGGACAGCAGGAAAACAGCAGCATATCTGTTTCAGTTTCACCTCCATTTATGGTGAAGTCTGTTTGTGCTTGACTCAGAGATTGTATTTGGACTTAAGCCTTTTTCCATAGAAGTCAATTTCAACATTCATGTTGAAGCAGAACTGTTTAATTGCTTTTCCAGACCGGGCCTTATTTCTTTCAGAAGCATGCCTCCCTTTTCCTAATCCATTTCTCTTTGCTTCTGGTCTACGTGCTTTTTGAAAGAACTGGAATAATAATACCCACTGTTGGTAATTATTAATTATGGGGACTCGGCACAGCAAGGACATTTGAGAGCATCTCTGTCGAGATTGGACTTTTTTTTAAGGTTTCTTGGAAATTGGTATACGGTAGTGAGCTACAGCATATTTATTTGTTGCTGTCCTGAGACTTTCATAAGCCAGACACATTTGTACTTGTCTTAATATATCAAAAAGTAATCATGGAAAAAAGACCCTGAATACTTTAAAAAGACTCCCTAGATCATATTACACAGTTTCCAAAAACACACGGCCAAAAAAAATCTAAGTGGAATATGATTTCAGTGTGGTCAATATTAACCTGTTATACGTTCAGTGTTGCCCTCCGCTTCAGTTTCAGTTAATATAAACTGATACATCTGGGGATCCATGTGATATTCAAGCATTCCTGAAGGAATTTCTTTCTTCCATGTATCTAATGCCCTGTTAGGCACCACACACATATGCCTCTGACAGGAGACACTCTACCCATGGACCGTTTGACAGAGCTCACTTGGAGCGTTTTTTTTAGCAAACATAATACAAAACAGCTGCAGGAATCTGATGAGTCGTCGGTAACAAACATCCCCACATCTGTTTTTATCTGTGCTCATGGCACTGAATCAAACGAATGGGTCTGAAAACTCACTGATTGTATTTAGCAAAAGAAAACTGTGCTAACAAGCTGATAATACATTAAACATATATTCTAAGAATCAAATAAAGTGTTGATTCTAAGACGTCCACACCAGCCTTCTGCAAATGTCTTATTGTGCACATAGAACCTTGTCTTTAAATTCACACCTACTTAACACCTTCAAGTAAAGAGATGATAAGTGAGGCTTTAACTACCTCTAAGCCGAAAATAACTGTAATATTTCCGCAAAGGTTCATTAGGATTATTAGTGGGTCTCAATGGCTACTTATTTGGGAAGTGTCTTTTCCATTTTAAGGGCAACTTCTAATTGTTGATAAACTACTTTCCTTGCTACAGGGATGTAGAAGTGGAATCCAAAATGAATGCTACATAGATTTTGTTTGTTGCTTAAAAATTATGAAATTTGATAACCAGCCCGTTTTGCCTTTCCCCCAGAATCATTTGGGTTTCGTCCAGCAGTAGAAATGATTAAATCTATACAATATAGCATAATAGTATGTGTTAAATGATCAATAGCCAAGTCTCACCGTCTAGCCAATCTCTGAACATAGTCACAAACCTTTGATGATCATTAAGGAAACTTTGATTAATTTGATCTTATTTTAAGGAAAGTATGTTCTTAGGTATTAAGGTGAAAGAATACTCTGATATTCACCCCAAAGAACAATTGAACATGACAGTATGACAGATAGTATGACAGATACTTTTTTCCCCCCCTTAAAGTTGAAATGATCCTGAAAGCAAACCCACATGTGTTCATGTCACTTTGTATGTAGTTGTACCACATACACTACATCTGGACATCACCGCAGTGCTAAAGTTCAAACCTGCTTTTGTTCATGTAGTCCATCTCTTTCATTTCAGGCCTACGTGTATGACATCCGCAGCAGCAGCTACCTCCACAAACTTCAGAAACACTCAGACACGGTGCTCAGTGTAGCTTTCAACCCTGCCACCCCACAGGTAAGTCTTACCTTTTGTCTCTGATTCGGTCATTTCCTCTTGAGTAAATGGTTTGTACGGTTTCATTAAATACCTTACTTTGACCTCTTTACTGACATCAGATACAGTGAAGTTGATAGAGAAAAGTGTTAATACGTTTTACCCTCCTCTCATCTATGATAATGTCTTCCAATCAGTGTAATCTTTATCTCAAACATCTCAAACTGTTATGAAAGAAACATCTTTAAAAGCAGGTAAGAGGTCAAGGTGAAAAACAGTGTCAGTCAGAGGTCATGTCTTCATTCCAAGTAAAAGCATCACTGCTTCAGTCTTTTGTGGGGGGGTAGGGGGTTAATGTAAATTGTTCGGAAATGTCACTTTGTTAATTTGCAAATGAGTATTTGACAACATTTCCAAAGGTACAGGATACAGTTCAAATAAGAAGAGAACTTTCTGATGATCCTAACATTAATTACTGAATGTTGTTTTTCAGTCATAATAACATGATTTGGTTAACATGGTTTGAATGTCATTTATAAGTCTTTCACTCACATGTCATGATGTCAGACTGTTACATAGGTCTGCAGTATCTCTACTTTTATAATGAAGGAGATATATCCTCAGGCTGAGGTCACATAGCAGGACTTTTTCAGACCATCCTAAAGTTCAGGGTCAGTCGACTTTATGCAAGTGACCTCACAGACTTTCTACTAGTAGCCAGGAAATCTATATAGCAATGACAATAGAAATAATAGGAAGCTTTTAACATGTGTCGAATAGGTGCTTTTAAATGTATTTGTGTGTATGTTTCATTGTGTAGGTGCAAACATACCCTTGTCTCTAAAAGTACTGTGTATTATACTGAAATGGTTAACATAACACTTGGATAATTTCAATGTGTATAAACAGAAACTAAAAATGCTGCTTGCATCTAAAAAAAACTTCAAAGACAACACCATTTTTTTCTTAATGTAAGCCTCCTGGAACAAAACCATTTCCATTTAAAATGAGTTTCTCCAAATCGCTCTATGGCAAGTTCATAGTCTAATCAGATCATGACTACCGCTCTATTGTGCCATGTGGCATCTATGACTGGCTTTATGCACTGTGCTGATCCACGTCCATGATTGGCTGCCTGCAGGGTAATTCCGGCCTGTGATTGGCTGCACAGTTCCACAGTTAACAAAAGATGAACAGTATACAGGGTTTTGCTTGTTCAGTTCAGGAGCTGCTTTCCAACTTTGGTGACTGTTTATACAATTTCGAACTGGATCCATTGTAGTTTAATGTCATGCCAGACTAAATTCCAAATTGATGGCACTGTGTGAGCGCCAAATGTAGAAATGCTTTGAATGCTTCAGTATTTGATCTCTTTATATCAGTTTATCCCCAGTATGAATTTAAATCTGTTTCTTTGCTTGACCTACTACCGAACTAATAGAAATTCAGGGACTGTAGAGTCTCTCCATGGAAAACATAAAAGTAAAGTGTAATACAGCACAAAGCATTTGTCTATCTTGAATTGCCATTACAGGAGAATAAGAGTTTAAGTTTATAGCTTTACTTGAAAACGGCATCCTTTTCAAATCTCCAGAGCCTTTCCTAGAGGGCTACATTCTCTTTGTTATGTTTTAGTGTCCCCTAATGATTCCTTTGGAAAAGTTACAGGCCAGTTGTTTTGCAAAAGAAGCTTTTCAAAATATAACATCACAACCTCTGCTGGACTTCTTATGAGACTTCTTGTTGCCTTTCTTTTGGACTTGAGGTTTTAAATCTGTTATGTCCTTCTGTGTAATTCAGTTCAACTTCTCAGAACAGTGATACATTCAGATTCTCCAGTTTGAAAGTGGACATTTTGATCCACGGCCACATACTAAACTACATATTCACAAAGTTTGGCACTATGGACTTACCTTTATTGTATTGTCCGCCACAGGTGTTAGGACATTAGGATATTGCTTTACATGTTCCAATTTGTGCAACTACTCAAAACCACTTTTCTTCATTTTAATATATTTCCCTTGTAGGGTCCTGTCATGTTGTATCACTCATAAGGTCATCACGTATTGTCCACCATTTTTTTTCCCTCAGATTTCTCAGTAGCCATGTTAAGATTTGACAGATTTAATTCGTAAAATCCAAAAATGCATAAAATAGTTAAGGTTTTCCAGATTGTCATGGCTTCTTTGAATCATGGAAAACTTAGTTAGGCAGAATATCTGGGTCTTTTGTTCTCATGCTTTCAAACTTCATGCTTTTAAAAGACTAATATGTATTCAGGCATTATGTTTTCTTTGGTTTTGTAATTGCCTTCAGATTTTAGCTTTAAGCACAGAAATAGGTGCTCATAAAATAAATGTGCCTTCTCATACTAACCAATAACCACTAAAACTGTAGTTTATTGAATTAACTGTCTCCTCCAGTCAAGCAATTTTCTGAATGCAATTAGCACACAGCTGCAAAGTCATGTGTATCCATTGCTGGACAGCTAACTTTCTGTCTGTGCACCAGAAGGGGAGGGGCTGTTCTTCATCCGTGTCTGAAATCATCATTCACTTTGGCCTATTTATTCTTTCTCAGGACCTTTGAGAGGGAGGTAGACCTCAGAAATTCTTAGCAAACATAGATAATACTGTATTATATTGAAATTCACATCCTGTCATGGAACGCTCTCAGATCATTTCAGGGTGGGTGGAGGAAAAATAATCCCTGCCTCAGGTTTTACTAGCTCTCAACCGTATCACACAGTCTGCATTATTAGACAGAGATTGCTCAGTTGTAATGGAGATGGATTTGTTGAACCTCGAGCTTTGTTAATGTTATCATTCCATCCATATTACTATTAGGACTTTGTGTTAGCTTCAAGTTAAGTGTGGAAGTCTACTCCTTCATTTTTCAGATTTCTCTTTTTATTGGAAAAAGTAATTTAGCAAAACAATCCCTATTCAAGATCCACTTACTAACTACAATATCCTGAATGTCTCTTTTTGTAAGTTCTCTCCCTTGTCATGCAGGTGGGTTGTTTGGTTGACACAATCCATACTTTGATGGAAATATCTTCTTCTGACTCATTATATCTATACCGAAGTTGTGAAAAAAACGTTGTGTTTCACTTTGAATAATGCAGATATTATTCTGATACAATTTCACAGTCACTTTTACAAAAATAAGTTGAATCAATTGTGTCATTGATTCAATTTATCAATGACACAATTGGATTTGCAATTAACTTTTTCTGTCTTAGAAGAATGGGAATAAAACAGAAAATAACTTGTGAAATGTAACTGATGCTCTGTACATTGCTGCAGATGAATGTTGCTGCTAAAGATGGTACGGATCTGATATACTGAGTGTCTGGCTCTGCTTTGTGAGGCTGCTTCTGGTTAAACTTGATCCGGTTGATCTAATGTCTGCCTGGAATGGACGCATTCATATCTGTCTTTATTTTTCTTCTGCTTGTTGCCAAATAAGAGACCTGTGAATAAAAAATGATTAAAAGATCAGGAAGTCCTGGGAAAATGTCTGCTTAGTCTCAAAGTTAACTCACACCAAGGCCATGTGATATCATCATGGTGACATTGCTGTATTTCCTTAGCCTGGGCTTTCTGAAAAAGTGTCCCCAACCTGTGCTCACCTTGCTTTCGAGCCACATTTGAGGGCCAGATGTGCTCCATATTTACTGCTGAGAGAACCCTCCGATGCAAGACACAGACAGATAATGCGATGCGTATTTTCCACTCATTTTTCACTCATGTTTTCCACACTAATACTTAAAAGACCATCAAGCAGGCAGATCTACCTCCGGGGTTCATTCCCTCAGGTTTATTCCTGTACTTTAGTCAGTAATGAAAGATCCCAACTTTGACTGTTTCGTTCACTTTGTTGTCTTGTAAAATCTTGCGGGATTTCACATGGCATACCTCAAGTTTTGCAAGCTCTCCTATGTAGGACCTACATGTGCTACCATAAAAGTAGACGTGCAAATTCTACTTGAGAGTACTTTCACACTTCACATGAGTAATTGCGTAACTGCTGATTCAACAAGGATATTCTCCATTTTTATTTGATTTGTTGGAGGCTAAGTGTTCTAAGTGTTCAATTTGGGATTAAGGCTTGAGTGATACTGTATCTGAAGCTTCCTCCTCCAAATTAAGAAACTTCAAGATTCATAAGTAAAAGGAAATAGCTTGAAAAAGATAACTAGGTCAGACTGGAGAAATATACTTCATGGGGTTTTGCTCTATTTGGGTTATTCAGATTTCTGTAGTCTCACTCCAGCTGTCGATAGCTCCAATTGCATTGTTCCACATTAGCAGTGGAAACGTCTTTGTAGTACCAAAGGTCAGTTTATTAATAAAGCAGGTGTCCTTTTAGTGGACTGCTTAAAATACTGAGATAACCTTTTAAGAAATGTTAAAACAAAGTTGTTGAACTCCTTGTCTATTGCTCAATCCATTTCTAAGGTATTATGTTTCTTCTTCCTGACACGTTTGAGTTTTCATTGGTGACTTTTTCTATTCAATTATTACAATGAGCAATTTCTGACATAGGTTTTTTTTTCTTGATTTAAATGGACTTATTGATGCTACCTCTGTTGTGATGGAGATGATGCTTGTGTGTGGTTTGGATATTGAATCTCACTGAGCACTGAGATTGGTTCTTCAGAAATGAAGGGTATGATACTAAGAGACATAAGGAATGATTTTCTACAATTTGAAATGTCAGTAAACATCAATGAAAAGCGACAAAGGAGGAGAAATACAAGTATTTTTTGTAAAGTTACACTGCATTCAAGAGAAAAGAGAGAAAAATCCTTACATTGTTGTTAAACTGTCCGTATGTTGTGCGAGCCTTTATTAGATGTGACTCGTACTTTATGAATTGGAAAATCGGTTAGCGTTGTAACTTTGAGCTGTGGGGGACTCGCTAGATGTGGACATGGTGGTGCAGTAAGAGACATTTACAAGCCAGATCCATCAAATGAAAAACGGAGTTTGCTTTGAGTAATCCTAAACCAGGTG